TTTTTTAGCTCTTCAGGTGCCTTCAGGCACCTCAGACATTAGGGGATACAGTTTTAGAAGCAAAACCACATCACACTGTCTGCATGACCAGTATGCTAAAGAGCCTATGCCCACCATCTGCCATGGGCTACCAACATGCATACCATGAGGCTGCACAGCTTTACCTGCAATATACTTGCAACAGTCAGAAAGATCAATGTGGCAGAACAGAGACACAGGAAAAGTAATGACAAAGGGACTAGCACAGTAGAAAGGTGATACAAAAGAAAAGGGCTTACCCATCTCTGAAGATCTAGGCTCACAGAGAAAACCCCACAAAAGAGGGATCTCTAACTAAATATCCTTCCACAGTGGCAGTCAGCCCTTAAATGAGGTCTAAGAAAGATGCAATCAGACTCTACCCCTTCTGGTCAAATTGCCTTCACCTGTGTTCCTAGGGCTAACTGGGTCCTTTCCCCAGGTGTTTAATCAGTGGTTCAGGCCATGACTCAACAATTACCATACAGACGTCAAGTCTGTGGCCAGCAGCACCTTTTCTTTTTCTTTTCAGAGATCCATCGCTACCCATAACATCCTCTTTTATAATGTTAGTGCCCATGTAAACCTGTAGCTCACTTTCATCCCAAAAGCAGCCTGGAGTCTCAAGATGTCTTCTTGAGCCATTAAAATTGGAAACAACACTCAGAGGAGTCCAGTTTTCCACTGGCTCCATGTCCAGTGATAGTTCTCAGATTGAATGCACCTGCTGGACTACAGGTGGGCTGCATGCTGACACTACAGAGGTGAATACAACTGAAACTGCCTGTAGCAAAACCAAAGTGGTAATGACCACTTGCTGAGAAAGTCAGCCTGCTGCAGTGCAAGGAGTAAGGCTCTACTGGCACTGCAGCCTTGCACCATGAGCCCTTGAGGAGCAGGACTCACCTCCAACCCATAAGAAGGAGAAGGGTCAGACATTTAAGCCTTAAGATCTCTCTGTAGAGCAGGTGAAAAACATGCAACATGTGAAGTATGGGCAGACTCAGTTCAAAGACTAAGACTAATCTTTGTCATCCTCTGTGAGGAGAATAAGAAAGCACAAACTAGCAAGTGACCTGTGGAGCTGCTTTTGGCCCAGATCTGGAGGACATGAGCCTGCAGGAGATCCACCAACAATCCTTTTGCATCTGGCTACTTCAACAGCTCATCTGAGCATCTCCTCTGAGCATGCCAGTGGCCCCTTTATATCCCATACCTATGGAAGGGGGGTCAGGAAGGATGAGCTATGCCTGCAGGACATGGCCTGGGGCAGTTGCCAGTACAGAAGCAGCTTAGCTTTCCAAAATGCTTTCTGCAGCTTTCCTGATGCTTGCTGATTTCCTGAGATATTTTGATTTCCTTGATCAAGTCATCATCAATCAATTCAGTTTTACCATTACTGCTTTGGCATGAGGCAGCGATAGTTGTACTGACTGAACTAATACAGTTTCCATTCTACTTTTCTGTAAGATGATGTATAAATTTATCAGCACGTTTAAGGATCAGTTTTGCTTTCAACCTAGACATACAACTCACCTTCGTAGCAAAGGGATACAAGTACTTTTAATAAGCAGAGCATAAACATACTAATGTTTCTCTAAACTTCTGCTTCTAAGTTCTTACCACACAAAAAGATGTTAAACTTCATCTGAACATGCCACAAAAATTTCAAAAGCCATCTCCACAGTGATACGCAGTTTCTTCAGTGCTGTTTTCACAAATTTTTCACTCTTAGACCAAACGTATACCTTCAGAGGAATTCTGACACACTACAGTAATGCTTAATTTGCATGCAGCACAATAGCACAGATATTGTGTTTTTCTTAACTGTGCCTCCAACCTGAGAAACCATGTACTGCACTTTAAAATGTCCCTTTGACTTTTTAGAATTGTTCTGAAAATAGAAAACTATGTTTTACAAAGAGCAAAGGAAATGTAGCCATGAATCTTATGTTTTGTACCTAGCACAGCCATCAGGTCCTACTGGAATGCAGATTTTTCCATTCCCCTTCTGTCACCTCTTTGCTCTCAGTTTCTTTGGAACACAGCAAGTGCAAGGAACCTGGCTGGGCCCTGACTGGTGTTAAGCAGGAGTCATTAAATTAGGAAAGGGAAAGAGGTTGCTTCAAACAGTGAGCAAGTTCCAGTGCACAGAGGGAGAAGGTCTTAAGCCTAGGAGAAATGGGGACACATACATGAGACATAGGAACCACGAGACACAAACAAACAAAGGTACTTGTCTGGACAGGGATTCACAGGTTGCATGTAACAGCAATTCCAAACGAACAAGGAAAGCTGTGCATCCAAATGAAAAAAAGTAACATATGATGATTTAGCAGATAACAGGGAAGCACAGCGTAATGATCATCATAGAAATAGTTGTCTGGATATTCCAAGTTATGCTTTCTCTGTGAGTGAGTGATATATCCTACATGTATTTCTTCCTGTGCTGGGAGGGACATGCCAGACCAGTGTAATTGGTGGTTACCTCTGTGAGACAGAAGAGAAAGTATAATCACTACAGTTTTATTTAGGTCCTGAGAAAGTTCTGGCAAGTTAAATCACACTATAGTTTTAAATAAATTACCTTATTCTGAAAGAACTCTGCAGAAAGCAGAAAAAGCATTCATCGCTATTACTTCAACCTTAGTTTAATTTCAGATCTTTGCATGAATATAAAATGAATGCACAGGGCTCCTTGGGTGTTTTTATTTAGCTGTAAATTGCTGGGTATATCATCTTTTCATTATACCTGCCTGACTGGGGCTGTTTCATACTAAATTCTTCTTGAAAATCCGCACATAAACATTTCTTGAAGTGGCTGTGGAAAAAAAAAATAAAATGTGGAATAAAAAAAGGAAAAAAAAGAAAAGAGATTGTGTGTTTAAAGTGCAGCTTAGCACTGGGACATCTGACTCAGCAACCCATTGGGTACTGGGTGCCAGCAGCCTTGCTAGCTCTCTTCTAAGATGGGGACCTCATAGAGCAGATCAGGCACCACTGACACAGCAGTCAATCAAAGCATCTATAATGAGAGGCAAGTTGTGACAACCCTTGATCAGGAAGAACTGTATTTAGGGCTGTCTGCAACCTCAGACAGTTTCAGCCCACATTTCTGTCAGCAAATTCATCCCCATCGTCAGGCTCCAGAGCATGAAAGATTGGGATATTCCCCATTCGCTGCTATAAAGCAGGACCATGCACAACCATCCATACTAGAAATAAGGGATCAAAGAGACAGCAAGTGAAAAGGAGCTTGCCTGCTTGCTTTCCTGGGAACAGAGCAGAAGAAGAGCCTCTGGGTGAGGGAAGGCATCAGGACCCTACATCCTCCTTCCCATATGAATGTCCCAGCCACAAAGCTGCAGCAAGGCTCCTTTGGCACCTTCACAGCTCTTGGAATCCCAGACACACAGCCACAAGCCAATCGGCTGAATTTATTTGAAAAACAGAGCCAACACCTACCTCTGTGTATGGGGGAAACAAGCCCATCTTCAGGCAACAGAGCAGTGTCCAAGCCCTTGCTCTCTGTTCTGAAGCAAAAGATATAAACACCAAGCAGGAACAGCAGCAAACAGCACCCTGCTATGAGAGTGTGATGACCCATAGTGGGGAGGACTACTGTAGGCCACCTTGTCATTTCTCTCTGAGAAGAAAGGAGGGGAAAGAAAATTGTGGGTATTAGCCCATTTACCTAGTTTTCACCAACCACACAGCTATTATATGGGTGAGCTAGGGGATAGCATGAAACAAGGAAAGAGTGAAACATAATTTAAAAAATAAATGAATTTTTAAAAATCTAAAATCTTTGCTCTATAAGATGATGATCAGCTCTTGTTTATCTGAACCAGTGTACTCACACCTACACCAAACACACTTGATTTTCCTGTAAGGAGCACATATTTAACTCAACCCACAGTGCTTGAAGATAGCCCTATTAACTCCAAGCTACTGGTTTGAATAGCTTTGAAACAAAGTCCACTTCTATTTTTTTAACAGTGCCAGTGTTGCTGCTATATTACAGCCCCTTGAGAAGGAGAACAATAACACACACTATTGGGTACAAAGAGAGTACAGAAATTAATTTCTGCAGCACAGGAGATTACAGGAAATAAACTGCTTACGCCTGCAGAGACAAAGCATGTGACAGCAGGAAAGAATTTGAGTTTGCACATGTGACGGACAGCGTTGTCTTACACCAAGCTTCAAGGACTTACTTAAAACCTTCAAGTCCATCATCAAATGTATAGTTCTCCATACAACGACAGCTTATAGCGATAAAAAAAACATCCGTCTCTTTGTAGAGCTTCTTTCAAGTAGTAACTCCCTTGAAGAGCTTTATAAAAGCCAAGTTGATATAATAAAACGTCAGTGTAAATATCTGACTTCATGTGCTGGAAGAATGGCTTGCTAATTCTGTCTTTTCCCTGGCATTCAAGCTTTTTCAAATATTTGTGATGGCGAAAAAAAGAATCAACATTTTTTCAAATAGAAATCCGATTTCAAAAGGTTAGGATAGCACTCGTACTTGAAAAAACTGAAGGAGATACTCTTCTTGCTGGATCTGTGCTTGATTTGACTGGGATTTTAGCAGTGTTAATATAATGCATATACACTGCTTTCCTGGTGTAGGAGTAATGTGTGTTATGGCAGCTGGGAGGATACAGATGAGGAAATGTACTCAGACAAAGGAGATTTAATGCTAAATGGTTACTTGCTGTCTGCAAGTAATTAATGGAAATCTGCTAAGCATAGCTGGCATTATTACGAATCACGAAGAGAGTCACAGAAAAGCCATGGAAGACGCCAGTGAATCAGGGCTTACAAAATACCATCCAGATCATCCATTGTTTTGGTTCACTAATGAGACACAAACTCAAAAGGCACCTTAGCATCTCAGTGCTGGGAGTGAAAGGGTCCACACCAAATGGACATATCAAACAAGAACAGGGCTTGTTTGTATGTATGTATGTATGACAGGAATTTCATGGAGCTAGAAAAATAAAAGTATGTAAAATCCAATTTACACCAGAGACAGCATAGCTCAGAGAATAAAATGCCAGGTACAGGATAAGTTGCTCCTTCCCCTGTTTTGCTGACCATCTGAGATTTTGCTGGAATTGATCATGGCTATGGAGCCATAACAGGCACACTCTTCTTAAACATAAGATTTCTCATTTTGGCTTTTGTAAGGTTAATTACAATGTGGATTGTTTTCTTTCATATCCATGTGGCCCCTTGCACCACATCTCTGGAAGACAGGTGGTTTGGCCAGGTATACTTCTGTAGTAGGGAGTCATCAGAAAAAGAATGGCAGAACAATGTGGAAACATGGAAGGAACTGCTCAGGAGGAGGATACCTGTGCTTAGTTTGTATCCTTGTAGGCTGGCCAATATCTTCAGGGATGGCAGGAATCAGGAACCACATAAACAGACCCAGAGAAAAATGCCATTCAGGAGGGCTGACGTCTTCTTAATCTCAGGCTTGCACACACACATCCTCAGTAAAGGAAGAAATCAATAATTTGTCTCTCAATCAATGGCATGATTGCAAGATACCTCATGCAACTTGCTCTAAGAGTGAGATGGCTTATGTTCCTCTTTCACTTGTGATATTACAGGGTGCACTTGAATGTGCAAATTTGTGAGCGCTCCCTAGAAAATCAGTGAATTAACTTGAACAACTGCATGTCTATATCCATCGTGTCCTCAGCTACCAAAACATTCTGGCTTCAGAAATAAACCTTGAAACCAATGAAACCTTAGTTTTGCTGAGGTAAAAGTCAAAGTCTGACAGAAGTAAAAAATGAGTCCGTGGTTGTTATAGAGCCCTAGCATCATCTCTGGGGATGTCAGCTGCACTGCAAAGCAAACTCAGCCCAGGAGAAAGGGGCACAGGACATGAGGACTGTTGATGAATGCTGCACGCTCCCTCTTCCCTTACCATTCCAGTATCGTCTACAACCTGATGTACTCATGTTTTCCTTTTCAGTGCTCCTTACTGATCCAGACTTTGCTTCAGTCACTATGAAGGCCTCAGTCATTGCAACCTTCTTTGGTAAGTACAGCTGACGTGATGCAATTAGTAGTTAGTAGACTTGTACTCCCCTGTTCTGGCTGATCAGTGGCTGCTGGCGTAGTAAGCCTTGGCACAGCTTTTCAGAAATGAGCCACTCAGATTTCCTGACTTTTGCTTAGAAATATGTAATATTAATTACTCAAAGAGATTTCTAAGTGCCTGACCTTAGCTAGACACAGTCTACATCAGGTGCATCACCAGGGCTGAAAATATCTGTAACTTAAAGATTCACTACAAAGAAAAATCAGCAATTAATTTTGTATTGTGAGCATCTTCTTTTCCTCCAAGTTTTACAAGAACACAGAGTTTTCTCCTATCAAGAAGATTCCAATGCAAAATGTTTATAAATGTGTCCTCTTTTCTTTCTCCTAGTAGTCTTTTTCTCTCCCCAGCTTCCTAGTTACTTAAGTCACAGAGATGTTGATCTGCTGGTATCTCTATCACACCAATTCCATTATTGCACCACTCATGGAAACAGTTGGCTTTTTTGTTGTGTTCTGGATTATTTAGACTCAATGGCATCTTTTGACAATGAGTTCCACAGAAAAATATGTAATCTGTTGGTCTTGAATCCCCTTTAGAAAGCTGACATTTTGATTGGACAAGTTGGCCAACAAGTAAAAACTTAGATGTGTCATTAAATGTTCCTATTTCATTTTTTCAACCAGTTGATTAAAACTTGGGAAATCCCATGCAGAGGAGCTTGTGGTGACTGATGCTGGCAGTCCACCTTTTTCCTGAAACTGTGTTTTTTTTGTTCTAGGGATACTTCTTGCATGTACATATGCAGCTAAGGAAGCCACAAAGAAGACCAAGAAGGCTAAACTATGTAAGTGATCCCATTAACATGCTTGGCTGCTTTACAGCAAGCAAGACTGATGCATAAAAATGTCTGAGGTGATAATCTAGTATCTCTTCTTTACAGAGTCTAGTAAGTCTAGTTCTTTACAGAGTCAATGGAAACATACATTAAGTAAAAGTTATTCTACTGAATTAATGTGTGATACTGATCTGTGAGTGAAGGGGACACTGTGTATTTCAGTATTAAAATGTGTCTTCATTTGTCCCCACTCACCATACAAGGGTCATCATAAGGCTTTTGAAAGAGATCTAAATATGTGAAATGAATCTGCTGTAACATAAAGCATATGTAGCTATTTAGCATGAGAGAGGTTGTGTATGTCTTATGCATTAGGATGCATAACTTTCAGTTCTACAGACTGTTTTCATTATTTAGTCAAAATATGAGTATGCTGGGAGGTGATGACTTACATTTAATGCCCTGTGCAAAGTAAATTGTTCCCAAAAAATAATTTTAAAACAAAGGGGAAGATAATGGAATGTGGCTGCAGCCTAGCATTACAGATGGCACAGAATTCCAAGAGCATGGGGAAGATTTGGGAAGCATCATGCCTCTTGTGTGCATGGTTATTCCTGGTCTCTAGTCACAGCCTCTTTTCCCCTACTGCTTCCTTCCTCAGTGGTAACCACAGCCCAGGTTTCTTTCTCTCTCCATCAGAGAGTCATATCTCCATTAAAGAAATAAACACTGAAGATCAGAAATAATGATGGAGGGAGTCTGCTTTGTAGAGGGGTTGGAATTGATGATCTCCAGAGTTCCCTTCTAACCCCTGCAATTCTGATTCGGTGAATATCCTCAGACTTCATCATTCCATCCATACAGCCACAATCCTGGGTACAAGGTTTGTTATGCGTTATATTGTAGATGCAGAGGACACAGACATTTCTTGTATCATAAAAGCATTGGTGTAAGAGCATAAGAGGAGGGTGTGCCTTTCATTCAGTTACTCATTCTTTTATGACAAGATCATTCAGCTATGAAAGCATTCAATCTGACTTTACCAAGATTTTGCTCTCACAGACATACCTCAGATTGACTGCGATGTCAAGGCTGGGAAGATAATAAATCCAGAATTCATTGCAAAATGCCCTCCAGGATGTCAAGATGTAAAATACCGTGTTTATGGCACAGACATTTATGCTTCTTTTTCCAGTGTGTGCAGTGCTGCAATTCACAGGTGAGTGGGTTAAACTGAGCCAGGCACCCACAGAGAATCATCACTCATGGCTTTTCAGGTCCTTCAAAGTTCCCAGTGCCTTGTAAGTCTGTTTGCAGGCTGCTGTTCTGGTGGAAAGCACACGAGAAAGATTGTGTGTGTTACTATGGATCCAATTCTGACAACTCTATTCCTACTGAAATCAGTTGTGTTTGAAAGTGTTCCTCAGCTGTAAAAGTGTCTTGAGATTTGCACATCTCAGATTACTGAACTATTCTCATTCAAGTGGGATGGAACTGCTGCTACTAATAAGGTTTCAGAAGAAAAGACTGACATATCACTGGCAATGAATACGTACAGCTCACACACTCGTGGGACTGCTTTTAATTCTGGGGATTTGAATTTAACTGATTTTGATGTCAAAGGCTGAGTAATGTGCCTTTCTGCCACAGAAGGAAATACTGGCCAAAGAGACGCATAATGAAGATTTTATAGCACTAATTTTGCCAAATTTAATTTGCCGTGCAAAAAATATGCAGATATTTTTAATGGAGAATCACTTCACAACTAAAACACCGCATTGCAGGCAGGATGCAAAGGCAAGATGCATTCAGATACAAGTACAGGAAGAACTTGTAGAGCCTGATTGACATCTTGGCTTCATTCAAAGAGTTATCACAGTGCTTCCAGTTCTGAGAAATATCTGGGAACTTGAGTAAGTTTGAATAGTTAAGACTTTGAGACTTAGTACCTTATTTGAAAAACAATTTCCCTTGATTTTGTGTAAGAGAACTGTAGCAGCACTGAGAAAGTGTAAGTGCTCATGAATCTTTGGTGACATCAGCTGCTTTACCGGTGGGAATTCTCTGCCCTCCTTCCTTTCACAGTCCCATCCCATGAACTGCTGTGGCCCTGTAACAGCCATAGTTCAATATGACCTGCTGAGATGGACAACTGTTTTAATGCAAAGCTTTTAATTGCCATGGAAAGCTGTCTCTAAATTAATATAAAATGCAAAACATTTAGCTTTCTTAATTCAAGCTGCCTGGAATGAATTCTCACTTGAACATGTAAGAAGACAAAAGCTCTGCTATAAGGGGTGATGCTTGTGAGAGGACAGCAGAGCCCTCCCTGTGTTGAGGTCCACTGCCCAGGGAAGGACTGCATGGTAGTGAATTCACTACGAGGATGCACTCCTGGGTGCCACTGGGCACAGGACTGCCCTATTTTGGCTACAGTGGCCGCTGCTCAGCCTTGTGCTTTGGTGATGGCCTTCAAGGGTCTGGCTTTCACACAACAAATTCTTCCTTTGGATATTAATGCATAATGAAAATTGTGTGGTCTTCAAGCAGAGCCTGTCCCAGTGAGAAGGTACATAATACTGATAGAGAATGCAAATTCTGCTGTAGTCCAGATGCCAGTTCCCTGTATTGGAATTTCAGTTTTCCCCATTTGCCAGCTGAGTTTGGCTAGGTTAACTTACACGGCGCACCTCCACAGCTTCCAGTAACATTTTGTTCAGCTTACTCTGGGCTAAAGTCAGAACCAGGCTCAGTTTTCTGTGGATAACGCACACTGAAAAACAAAGAAAACATTAGTTTTTGAAAAAGAACAAGTCAGGAAAATGGAAGGTTTGTCTTTGATTAATATAAATTATTATTGTTGCATGGCTGGCCCTCCAACTCTCAGAGTGCATCTCCACGTCTTCAATCATGCAGTCATGCTTGTAGGAATTGCAAGGAGGGCAGAAACTTGTCCTTCTGTGCAACTCAATCAGCCTTAAGCACTGACCTTGTAGATCACTGGCAAGAAAAAACAGAGACTGACAGTGCTGTGCAGCTGACTGCTCTTCTGTGTTGATGAAGTACAATTTTTTTCTTAGTAGCAGATTCAGTGGTAGCTTCGAAGCTTTGCTGTAATTCCTGGCTTAAAAATGGAAGTAAGCACCTCCTACCTCTTGCACTGTTTAACAGTTTTTGTGGCTTGGGGGAGAATTCCCACCTTTAGCTACTATGTTTTCCCCTTGCAGTGGTGCAATAGACAACACAGGTGGGAAGATCCTTGTTCAGAAGGTGGCTGGCCATGCTGGGTACCGGGGGAGCTTCTCCAACGGAATTCGGTCGTTGTCATTGCCACGCTGGAGGGAGTCCTTCCTCGTCTCAGGTACTGTGCTGAAGCACCTTGGTTAGATTTTATTCTGGGCTTCTTATGGAGACAGCAAAGAGAAATACACTCCACTGGAGCTGTGCACTGCCCATTGCAAGTGACAGATCTGCACTGACTGCCGTTGGCATCCCAGCTCCTGCTCTTGATGCTTAAAGTCCAAGCCTTGGGAATGGTGGGTGGGTCTTCCCTTGCATTTGCTCCCCTGAAAAGTACTGCAGCCAAGCAAGCTAAGGCCCTCAGTGTGAGTTTATGTCCATGTCTTCTGAAGTGACTTGTTCCAGTGCTGCCATTCAGACTCTGCAGTGAAGCTATATAGTCTGTCTTGCGCTGGGATGTGAAGGTTTTCTTCGTGTGTAAACCAACACATTTTCAGTGTATCTGTTGGATGCAATGACCAAGGTTCTCTGAGTTCCTAAATAAAATTAAGAATGCATAATTTAATGATATATACATTTCAAATAAAAAACTGTTAACCCATCTCAAATCCATGTACAAGTACCATATTGCATTTGTACAAAGTACTGAATTAAGAAATTCTATTACTGTATCCCAAATAAATTATGAAATGCTCCCTTCTCTCTTAGCCAGAATGTTGTGATATCTACCCAGCACAAGGAAATACATTTTAGTACTAAATCATTCCCCAGTACATACAACAGCTCACTGGATTCAGTGATGAATGTCACAGATGTTTTTGTAGGTTAGATCCTCTTTGCACTGGTTTCATATTATCTCAAATCTGCCTGAAATCATTCTGCCCATACAAATACAGGGTCTAGTTTACTTCACATACAATTTGTAAATCCAGCTTCTTGCTTCATCCAGAGAAGGGTCCGTCTCTTGCTGGTCTACACTTCTGAAGGTTTGGGATAGGTATGACCAACTGATATTAGTTAACTACATCATTTCTGGAAAAATCAACAGCTCAAGCAATGGAACAGCCACTAAAAATAAAGAAATGTTTTCATGTGAAAATTAGTGGACCTTATTTAATAAGGTCTTAGAAGTTGACCAAATTAAACTGCCATCTGGAGTTTGCATTAATATATTTGGATGCACTTTTTACAGCATTTTACCATGGGTACACCACACCATAAGAAGGATTTATTTTGGATGAGTATGGCTTTCCTGGAATAGCTGAATTGCTACTTGTACTTGCTGCTGTTTTTTTTCCAACAAACAGCACATTGTAATCCTGCTACGTAAATAGGAAATAAGATCTTTTTACCTCAGCAGCTGCTCACTTGTCATCATATAAAACTGCAGGGATTTTTGATTTGTAGTAAAATATCTTTACTCTTAATTAATGAATCACTATGACAGATGATACTAGAGAAAGTTAGAAATATAGGTAAAGAGAAGATGAAAAATCTGCACACAGGTAGGCATGATGAGATTTGTCTTTCATGCCTAAATTTCAAGCATGTTGAACTGTCATGCTAATGCAGTGGAACTACATTACAAACTGCTTCAAGCATAAATCTAATATAACATAGTATGTTTGATACCACATTTCACATACAAGTAGGAAGGAAATTCTTACTAACTATACCTGCAGAAAATGTGGTAATCTTAGAGATAAATTCAGAAGATTAAATTCTCAGGAAGGCTGTGCCAACAGTTTATTTCCAGTTTGGATATTATCATGGAGAGTGTGATGTTTACATTATGAATAAACGTCCACACAAAAGAGCATGGAGGAAGAATCCTTAGGAGAGCCAGGCAATGAGGTGGCGTGATTTAGGAGCAGTGGGGAACAAGGTCTGCCCCCTGGGATTAAAGCAGCGAGCACACCAGGAGGTATGCAAATGCACTGGTATTCACTTTCAAGCACTGAATGCCTTGGCATTCAGCTGAATGGCTCCATTCAGTTTAGGGGGAGTTTGAAGCGAGTGGGTTAAGAAAATAGAGCCCTAAACCTCTGGGTTTCCTAATTGCAAATAGGCACAAGAGAGTGAGTGGCCACCATCCTATGGCTTGTACTTCAAACAGCCAGAAGCTGAGGTTTTCAACTCACATGTAAACCCATTTTCAAGTATGCTAAGCAAACTCTGACCTAGATTCAACTTTTTCCAGATGACATATCAGTGGAAAAGACAAATTACCATAGCTCCAGAAATCAGGGCCACATCCAGGTCAGGCTTCAGAGCTACCATTTGACAGTATCCTATATGGGATGCAAGCTGATGTTTACCACAAACCACAGAGTCCAGCAGTAGCCAGCTTCCCCTTGGCAGATAGCTTATTTGCACAATGAAAGTCTAAGTTTTCATGAGAAATCAGATTAGCTATAACATAAGATTATTATGCTATTGCGCATTTGTGTGCCAATAACTTACCTGACGATTTTGAACTGCTGGGGATAAAGAAATGCATTTAGACATCATCTGCAGTCATACATCTTTTTCACCTTTCTGCCAAATTTTGAAAAGAACTCCCTACTCCCGCTAAGCTCCTGAGGCCAGTTTTGCCTCTGTAAAAAATGGAAGTGACGATCTGCTGTCCTTAACTTACTCCAGCTTCTATGGGAAACCCAAGAAAAAGGAAAAAGATCTTTGCAGCTTGTCCATGCATGTCAGTTGCCAGCTTGGCTTCTGAGGGAGCTGTGTTGACTTCAGTGGAGCTACTCCCAAATTATACCAATGTAAATGAGAGATGAAATCGATCCTTACAGAATTGCCCCATTAGTAACTCTAAGCAACTTCTTCAAAGTAACTCAAAGTAACTTCTTTATTGACATCTGAAATTTCAGAGAGGAGTAAAATAAAGAGGCTAGAGACATGCAAAGGGACGTGAGAGGGACAGCCTGCTCCAGCACTCAGTCTGTACAGATGAGTTCTGTTGACTGTTGTTGGTCTCTAAACAGCCAGGATGACAGCTGAATGTTTACTAAAGGAACCACTGAGAGCATAAGGGAAGCAATCATCAAAATTCAGGTTTTGCAGGAAGTGGAGGCAGGTCTAACCGAAGGTAGTACAGATACATGACATATCACATCAGTTTGTAGAGAGTCACCAGGGAGCGGAAGTCCTTACCAATGCCACATCCAAGCTTGCAAAATTATGCTTTTTCCAGCTCCTAGAGAGCAGAGCAGTCTTACCCACACTGAACTTCTCTGCAACATCTTACATTCAATGATCTAGATATGCGTTGAGAATATAAAACTGTCCCAAGAAATGGAATTGCACAGCTACATGTACCAATAGAGATGGCATCTGGTGTGGTATTATAAAGATTTGTGTTTTAATGCTTAAATAGGAAACATACCTCATTGTTTTAAGACAGGACTCTCATTTTAGATCTCAATATAGCTACCATATGTCCCCACACACAAGAAAAGCCTTCTCTCACTGTTATTACTGCAAAAGATCATTGCCAGAAATGGCATGTTGCAAAAGCAAGGTCTGAAAAGAATGGTGTGTGCTTGACAAAATGAATCCCACATCAAATACACTTTCTAGTTCAACTACATATTTGGGAGCTGGAAAAAGGCAACCCAGGGAGGCTGTGGGTTTAAGCATAGTTTATACAGATGTTCTTCAGGACTGATCCTTTCACGCTTAACACCACGTGAGAGCAAAGAAATAAACTGAGTGACCTCTACAAATCCTTCCCAGGACTGTATTTACATGCTTTCTATCTTTTCTTATTGTGCTGGGTTTCAGCATTGGTATTTTTAGTATAATTGTTTTGAGATTTCTCCATCAGATGAGAGAAATCCTCAGGAAAATGATGTGGACAGTGAAAAAGTGGGATCTGATCCTGAACACAAAGGTTAGATGGGAGGGTTTTGTGTGATATTTTGCAATGATTATTTATTTATTTATTTTGTAGAGGGCAAGCCAAGAAAAGGTGTGACATATCCATCAACTCTTGAATTCTCTTCCTCAAAGAGCACAGCCGTTAAACCTGGCAAGTAATTATGATCAACCTTCCCTTATATCTATGCACAACTATCTGTTGTACCATCTCAATTGTGTAATAAAGAAAATTTAATAATTGAGACTCTGAAGATAATGTACCCCTTACGTTCATCAATGTTATTATTTACAGGCCCCTGTTCCCACCTATTTTCCCCTTTGCTTTAGATCTGTGAGTATGGTGTTCTTGTTCTATCCGAAGTAAGTCTTCTGTGTTAGCTTTCTCTTAATGCTACTTGTGTAATCTCTTGGGACACTTGATGTGGAGAGTACAGTAATACATAATAATATTAACAACACAGATGGCAGTGCTCAGGAGCTTTAGATAAGAATCATGTGGTAAGGAGTTACTCTGTATAACTTGTCTCACCTGCCTCCCATTCTGTCAGATTGAGCTCAGCTTAAATAATATGTGTCAGTAATTCTACATCAAGATATATGTACAAATCCACACCTAGTGGAATGTAAATGCAAAGCAATTGTAAACTAAAGGCTGGGCTTTGACTGATGTACACTCAAGCTGAACAACTACAATGTTTAGATGCCACTGTGTGCATGTGAGAGTCTAAAAATGAGGAAAGATCTCTGTACTTTCCTTCCAAGGACCAAAGAATAACGTAAAGGAGAAGAGCAGGACTCCAAACAGCAGCCATGCCACCTTGGATGGATGCACCCATTGACAGGCATTTGAATACATGGGAAAGATGCTCATGTTCTTACATTACTCTTCACAGCAGATAAGCTCATGAAGATTTGAACTCAGCAAATACCAAAAGAGTCACAATAGAGAAGATATATATATATATTTTTCCTCACATTCCTGAGGAAAAGTCTGGAATTTACACAGTTATGAAAAAAAGCACAAACAAATGCCATTTCCATGAAGAAGACACTTCATGTACACTTGAATATCAGCTATCACCTAGTGAGAATCTTGATAAAAAACTTATGAAAGGAATTAAATTATTTAAGCTGAGTAAAAATCACTCTTTCCTTCTAAGCGAGCCCAGGATTTGGCCCCATGAAGATCTGACAACGTCAAGCAAGAAAGAAGTATATCTGAATGTGAATTAGTGACTGAAATACTACATGCTGGTTGGTATTCACCAGACAGCTTACACACACCAGGACCCTGACTCACATTAATCTTATGAGGATTGGTTTATTAGTGGTAAAACCCCGTGTTTATTGCTCACTTCAGAAATTCTGTTGACATTGGCAGGAGCTTTTGGGCAGTTAGATGTCTAAATGAAGCACCGAAAACATGTGGCGACTGCTGTCTAGAGGCATTCATCCATCACTTTTTCTTTCTTAGCAAGGAAGCACTGATTAGACTAACCAAACTTTGTAATGCTAGGTGGTGGGATGCATCCCTTTGGGGACTGATCACCTCTTAATGGAAAACTTTATTTTATTCCATAGTGCGTTTCTTAACGTATTTCATTTCGCTTCAGAGCCTAAGAAGCCAGAGCAAGACCTAAAAGTTCCAAAGAGTGCAGCCACACCTGATACATTGGGGAAAGCCTCGGAACAAGGTAGGAGTTGGGAATCTTCATGTCTTTTTCTAAAGAAATTCAATTACATTTTTAATCTCTTGTTTCATTGTCCCTGGGCTTTCTGCTGTAGCATAAGCTCAGGGGTTCCTTGCTCCATGCAGCCAAAGTTACAGAAGCCACTGCTGTACCCACTTCCTGTTACTGCAGTACTGTCTTGCACAGGAAATATCCCTCTCTCCTCCTTTTCTTAGTGCAGCAGCATGGAGCAGGGTACCGCTCAGCCCAAAGAGAGCCATTCACACTGGTTTTTCAGCTGAGTTGTTGAGTTTTTCTTCTGAGCTTGCTTTCAGCATCATCCCATTAAAACTGAAAGAAATCTGAGTTTTTCTCTGGCTGGCATTTGGTGGTAATTAATCTACCAGACAGTTTCATGGTGATGCTTTCCAACAGGGAAACATCCAGCAGAAAAATGCAAGCTCGTACTGTGCTGCAATGAAAAGGCTGCATGAAGGCACACCACTTCATTTCAGTGAACACAGTCTGTGAGGTCATCCTTGGGGACACAGGCAGGGAGGAAAGGAGCAGGGATGAGATGAACATGGAATATATTTGAGGGTGACTTTAATAGATAGGTGATAGGTAAAAGATGAAGACTCTTCTAATACGCTAACTGGAAAGGACTAGAAGCACACTAAAAATTTTGCATAAGACTATTTAGGATGCACATTTTTGCAACTAGAATTGTCTCTATTCTCATGACAGATCATTTTAAAAGCAGTAGCAAATGTCTGATGAGTCAAAGTGAGCTGAAATGGTCATCCCTGAGTGCTGCTCTCACCACAACTCTAAGACAAAGCCCTCCTGGCTCCTGCTCCACCCCTGTCCTGAATCCCAGAAACCCGTCCTTCTGGCAGTAACACTTTGGTGGTGGTAGGCAATGCCTACTTCATTCTGGTCTATGACTCAGAATTGCCATCTTTTATTCCAGATGTCTGTTGATTTCTATTTATATGGATTTTCAAAGAGTTCTATTATATTGAGAAAAGATGACAGCAAAACAGTGGATGTAGCAGAGTGACCATATCAATGTTCCTACAGGGGACACGGTCCACAAGGTGTATCAGACATCACCGGAACCAATGCCAACCACACAAATGGCAGCCACAACACCAACCCCAACGACCACATCCACAGATCCTTTCAGCACAACACCAAAGGCAACCACACCTGCAACAACAAGAATCAGAATAGACTCAACTGCAGCCAAGCCTCGACCTGGATTGCACAGGGTCAGGGATACAGGTCAGTAGTACAGATGTTTTCATTGCTTTCCTCCTGACTAACAGTTCTCCCAAAATTAAAGGAACAAGACACTCAGTTGAATATGCCATTATTTAGTAGATTATTGGTACAGCCATTCAACATAGGCATATTATGAGTGGATAAAGAAATTAATTCCCACCCATCTGCTGGAGTTGTAGTATATCTCTGAGACACACATGGAAGTGTTTGTCTCACATCAACTCAATGTGGTTAGATTCCCCAAAATAAGTGCTCATCTTCAGTAAGCAGAGCAATTACGGCTAGTCATTATCTTTAGCATCTATACTGATTCTTGTGGGAAGAACTTTTCCATCTATAAACACTATCATGATTATCAGGTATAGTAGTCAACTGTTTCTTTGATTCATATGTCTGGACTGAATGTTCAGCAAATAGGTTAAGATTCAGTTTAGATTTAACTCTGTGATAACTTCCAATAAATGAAAGTTGTAATACATGGTTTTCTAATAGCTCTTGTATTTTAAGGATGAAAACAACGTGAAGGAATCCCTCCTGTATAATTTTTTTCCACACGCCTGGTTTTCCCTAATCTTTTCTTCTCTTCATTTATTTTTATTCATACATATTGGTGTCTTTTTGAATGGTTCAGCAGATGAAAATCAAAATCTCTTATTTTTAGGTTCTAGCAGCATCCACCCTGCATATTCCTCTGTGGCAGCTGCAGCATCAAGTAAGTACACTAAGGAAGTATGTGCCACAAGGCATACAGTGTGGTGTGTTTTAAGGCAGCAATGATTCAGTAACCTTTCAAGCCTCAGCAAATGCAGTGGTTGAATACAAGTCTGTATTTAAACTGAAAAATATATGCTAGGCCTGATACATCAGAGATGTTGATCACTGAGAGTTCTGGGGAATCCCTTCTAGCCAATAACTGCAAGTGACAATACCTGCCTTGACAAACGCTGGATTTTGCAACTCTTGAGAAGTCTGTGCTGCTACAGTCAGATTTTCCTGTAGCATCCTCCTGTCTTACTCTCTTAAAGGAAAATTTGATTTACTTGTAAGATACATAGTACAGACAGTTGAACTGCTATTTAAACTTAGGGCTGAGAGCTCTGAAATGCCAACTTCAGTTTTTTCTGAAAACCTCAGGCTGTGGTTCCAAGCCTGGCATAAATGTGATGTTATTCCTGGCATATCACTTGTGTTTTTGACAACAGAATTGTGGCCATTCAGAGCTCTACAGCTTCATCCAGAAGCCTGACTCCATTCTAGCCCACAGGCTGCAATGCAAATACATAGAAGAGTTTTCTCATTCAATGGGTAATTGCTCAGTTGAGGATGGAAGGATATTTTCACCTATTTGCAAGTTTCTGAGCATGACACTATTTTGAGGGTTATATAAAAGAGAGCTGGAAGATTTCATACTATTGCTATTTATGAGTGCCTTGAGCTTGGTTCTACTCTCACACATGTAAATGTGGCTGTACCTACAGCTGAGTAATTCAAAACCAGAATACGTAGCAAGCATCTTCTGGTTAATTCAGGTCTTGAAGGAAAGCATCATTAAGTCAAATTCAACTGTGAGCCCAGAAGTCTCCTACCTTGCTACTCCTACCTAAGAAGCCTGCCCACACCAAAGAGGCACCATGAGCATCCTCATTCATCAATTCCACGTACTAGGAATAAATGACCTTACACACCCAACAGAGCACATGCCTACCCTGCTCTGGGATAAGGGCAGGAGTTGGGAAGTTAATAAGTCAAATGTGCAGGTATGTGCATGGCACTGTGTACAGAAGTGCAAGCATAATTTCAAGCAGTTTAATTTCAGTGGAATCTGAATCATTTTGTATCTAATATGCCTGTATACCTGGTCCTGCCTGTTTCTCTCTTCTCTATTTCACGGTCCCATCAGCTGGCACAAAAGAGGCGATTACTTTCTTCACTGACAATTAGGAAAACCTTTTTGAGGTTCCCCAGGCAGTAAGAGGAGCATATTGAGAATGAACTTTTGACAGCACTGAAGTCAGTGGGAAGGCTACGTTTGTCTTAAATAAGACCAAACTTTGAGCCAGAAAGCAGAAAGATTAAAAGTAATTCCAAAAAAATTACTCACTATTTTAAGTATTTCTTCATTGCAGTGTAGTTCTGCTTCTCCACAATTTTCTTCACTGGACTTCTACTAGATATAAATTAACTGCCAGAAGATTAAAGGGATGAGATTTAGGGACAGGTTCCTGTGAGCTGGAGAAATGGAAGAGACATACATCTGTATAAACAATGAATGTACAGATGTTTATAGTTATGAAATATACCAGAGAGTTCAGCTATGTAGTTATCATACCAAAACAGAATAGATAAAATACTTACCCACATCCTGGGCTCACTATAAAACTCCAGGGGAGTGAATCTCCAGAAGAGATCCTTCCCCACTGTAATCAGCTTTTAAATGGGTCTCGGAGAAGTGGAGCCAGGCTCCATCCCTTCCAGCAGCACGGGTAAATTGCCTTCACCTGTGCTCCTGTGGCTGACTCATCTCATTGCTCATCTCAGGTGATCAATCAGAAGTTCAGGCTGTGATTCAGCAGTTCCCATACAACATCTGATTTCACAGACTCGATTTTTAGGACTACTCAGTATCCATCTTCTTGAATTTTCCTGATTTGTTCATGATTCTGAAGGAGAAGATCTGGATCTAAAAAAAAAAAAAAAAAAAGAAAGGAGGGAAGAAAACGAAGTTACAACCACATACAAAGTAGTTAATGAGCTTTTTCTATCTGAGGAGCCTTTATAGCTCACTCATATTATTCAGGCTGGAGTTTCTAATGATGCTTTTGGTTCTGCACTCTGCCCTGCTCAGTTCAGCCTCACCTCTTTTCTTTTCAGCCAGTGACCTTGAGCTGGGTGCTGCCTACCACAACCTTTCACCCTCAGCTGTGACTTACCACAGTAGCAAGAAAAGAAAATAGGAAAGGACTGGAGAGACAATAGCATTATAAGCAACATAGAAAGCTCTCATCCAACAGTGTGAAACCATCCTGGCTCATAGGAGTGGAACGCATGGGATAAGGACTGCACTGGGGGGGAAACAGATGGAGCCTGTTTTTGGATACAGCCTTTTCTCTTTGGATGCTTAGTCCACCGGGAATGCTGACTAAGTTGCAGAGGGAATTCATATTTCTTTAGTGGAGTAGCTGCTCACCTTCTCAAAGCAGTTTTCATCATTTGTGATGAATTGTGATGGCTTGGCACCATCAAAAGCAGCACAGAAAGCAAACCAAGTGGGTAACAAGTGTGGAAACAGAACAAAAACTGTGGTGCACAGGACTTAGGAACTCATCTCCCTCTTACCCTCATGTGCACTGTTTCAAGTGGCCTTGTAAATACTAACACTCGGGCAATCCCAAACTAAGGCAAGCTTTCAGACTCAAAGTTAATTTTCTTCCCGTTCTTTGGTACATACCTATCTTGGGCATGAAAAGAGCACCCAACTCTACACTGTGCTGCTGCATAAGTAGATCTAGCTCTCCAGAACCAAGAAGTAATCTTATGCTGCCTGCAGATCACCTGGACACACAGCTAGAAGCCTACAAAGTTTAAAAGCCTAGCAGGGGAGCCTGTTATTTCCCAAAAAAGGATCTCTTTGCCTTTTAAATTTTCATAGTCTCTCAGGACAGCTCACATAAATCCCATCAAAGGGCTTCCAGTACTCTGTGAATGTTCAAATTTGGGTAATGCATGCATTATTTGCTGTCACTTAATTTTGTTATAGGAAGCCTGCAAGTAGCAGCAGTTCCTGTTTTCTTAGACAACCATTACAAATGATCTCATTTATGATATCTTATTGAGAAATATGTCATGGGACCATTGTTCTCAGAAGTCAGCTAAAACATTCCTACTAATTTCAGCAGGCCTTGGAATGTTAACAAGCTTCTGAAGAGCAATTAATGAAAAGAAAAGCATGATTGAAGACAATCTTCATCTGCAAGTGCTTTGAGAATTCTGTATTTTTGAACAGTGGGAGTTTAATGTATTAACACAATCACATTAAAAAAGCATTTTGTGTAGACAGCAATGAAGACATTTCAGACACATTAATTCTCCCACATTGTTTTTGTTATTGTTTCATTATTTACAGTCTGCCTGCTTGCTTGTATCTACTCACTGGCTCTTGTCTCAGATAGTAAGCTCTGTGCAGGAAGTGTGGTATCTGGTCTGGGTTTTGTTTTGGTTTCTTTCTAACATTCTTCACACAACTGGATAGCATTGAAATAGAAATAAGAACAGATAATGAGCTTGAGCAATTGAGAAACAAAACTTATTAAGGAAAGCAAATCAGAACAGTAACAAAACAACTTAAGTGCAAAGCAGAAATGATTAAAATCGTACTCATAACTGAAGTGAATGTTAACTAATCTAACTAGGCTGAACAAGGCAGTTTTTCTTTAAGCTGACTTAAAATGTAGTTTTAACATCTGAAAATGGATATCAATGAAATCTCTCTGTCTGTGAGCAACTAACTCTCATAGCAATAAAATAAGATTCAGGTAGTAGTAGTTCTGCACTAAACATGGAGTACAACTGACACTTCTTCATTTTGATGTCCACTCAGGACAAATTCAGGCTTCACAAGGAAGAGGACTGAATACAGGTATGTACTGAAACAACTAGCTGGATCTTTTTTGCTAGAATGCTATAAAACATTGTCTTTCAGTTCTATTTGCTAACCAATGCAATATTTTCAAAGCATTCAGGGGCACTTCCACATCTGCAAGTAACAGGAATATGTTGCGACCCAATGCAGGTAATGCAGGTAATCAATCACTTTTCTTATTTCTCCCCATCACTCACCTCTAAAAAGCACATATTACTGTAGTTATTGCACAGCAATAGCATAACTTCTAGAAACAACAAATAAAAAGGAATGATTAAACTTAGAATTGTTCTCAGAACAATATCCTAAACCTATTTATATAGGTACTTTATAATACTCACTAATGCAAAATGTCAGGAGAACTTGTGTCTTGGGGTCCATAGGCCTAACTTCAAGAGGAATCATAGAATCACAGACAACTTGGGTTGGAATAGACCTTAATGCCTACCCAGCTCCAACTTCCTGCTGTGGGCAGGGCTGCCACCCACCAGCTCAGGCTGCCCAGGGCCTCATCCAACCTGCCCTTAATTGCCTCCAGGGATGGGGCACCACAGCTTCTCTGGCAGCCTGATGATTTCTTTCAGTTTCCACCTCCTGAGCATGGTCAGCATCTCAGGACCCGCTGCTTGTTGCTCCAGTGCACTAGAGAACTACAGTATCTACTAACATTTAGACTCCTTTCTTCTGCTTTTGCCACTCTCCCTAAGCTTGTAAATTCTTCCTTTTTTTTTTTTTTCTTTTTTTTTTTCTTTTTTTTTTCTTGTTTGTTTGGGTCTTATTTGTTGGTGGTGTTTTTTTCTTTTTTCTTTTTTCTTTTTTCTTTTTTTCTTTTTTTCTTTTTTCTTTCATGCTTGTCTATCCTGGCCAGATGGCATCTAACCTCCATCTCTCTCTCACACTGTGCAGGTATTCAGCGCCAAGAGCCTGTTGCCACCATCCGCAGGCCTGCCGGGTCTCCAGCCCATCTGGGTGAGCCAGACTGCTAAGTGCAGTCTGCCTTCTTTCTGCCTTCTTTCGTGATTTTAGTAAGCCTAAATTAACCCATATGCTGGTCTGCAGATGAATTCTCTGTGTACTGAAGGGCCAGCCAGCAGCTTCCAGAATGAGGAGTCAGTGGACAGATTGGACACTAGTGAGCTGTTGTTTCAGGCTGCAGGAATCAATTTCTACCACAGTGTTTATAATTTACCTTATCTGTTAGTCAAAATGAGGAACAAAACCTCAGCCCCGTGCAGCCTATCAGGTCTATGGTAGAGATAAATTTTCTGCTGTTCCTGTCATTCTCAGGAACCTCCAGACTGATTGCAACACAGGGATTGTCTGAACAATGATTAGTTGTCTTAAACATCTTTGATGCATTTCTTCTTTCCCAGCTGTGCAATTCACCATCCACTTCATCAGCAAACAGTCCTTTCAGTGGCACTCTGGAAGGCTGCTGGCAACTTCAGGTGGCTCCAGAGCACTCAGGGGTGCTCTATTCTGTTTCTTTGTTTTAACATTATTCCTGTTTATTTCAGTCCATTTCTGTTCCTTCATTTCCATCCATGTTTGTCTTTCTCATGTTCTTTTGGCCATACCAAAATCACAGCCTCTTCTTTTTTTTTTAATCTCATAATTGTTAAATTGTTATCTTCTCTCAATCCTCTTTGCCATGTCAAAACCCAGTGCCCATCATCACAAGGGAAACAGGTGGACAATATGTACAATATGTACCCATGCAGAACAGCAGAGCTAACACGTTGCCTGTAAAAGTGCCTAACAAAGCAGTGCACGAATTATATTACACTGTGTACAGGAGGGAGAACCTGGTATGGCAGGGAAATGGGAAGAGCCCTGTGATGTGCTGACTAAGCCTCAGTCTGTCCAAATCTTTGCCAGAGGAGCAGGGGAATGCTGTGCTGAATCTTGTTTAAATCAATCACAGTTTGTTCCCACCTTACATATCTGAAGACTTCCCAAGATGACTGCAAAGCACAATTATTCCATAATGAACAACTGTTTTCACAGCCACAGAGCAAGAGGAAAAAATCCCACAAACATATACTTGCTGTATTCCCTACAAGCCCTGATCTTTTCTCAGCCTGGGTCCTGGCAGCTCAAATGAGCTGCTTCCAAGCAGCCAATTTTTCTCACGGTCAAAGGGAAATTCCTGGACAACTCCTTGCTTTCTTGGAAAGGAGAGCTGTTTTTCTTGATCCTGCAAAGCAAGTGCACACTGCTCAGCAAACAACAGCTATTGAGCTGTGCTGTCAAGGAGCTTCTCTATTCAGCTCAGGTTAGCAAAAAGATTTGCTTGGAAAACACCCATCCTGACACACCATTTGTTTGCTTGGCTTCTCCCTGCCTGCACTCAAGAAGGCCCCACGTCCTCCAACCCCTTGACAATTATAGATCTTTTTACATTGTTTTAAATATCAGTCTTGTAGTATTTTAAAAATCAACCTTGATTTTTGTGGGCATTATCAAGCAAAAGAAAGAAAAACCTTAGCTATTTAAAAGAATACTCTTTTTCCTTTCAAAGGAACATTTAACTGAGAGCTTGCTCTGTGATGTGTCTAGGACTACATCCAAGCATAGAGCTTTTGCCTGGATTCATGAATCACACAGATTTAGTGCATTCTTCATCTCTGCAGCCTGATACCCAAATCCTTGGCACTTGTGCTTGTCTTCATTCAGGTCTTCTCACTACAGAAAGTTTTCTACAGAAAGGACATGAGCCGTGGGAAGACTGCTCAGAGAAGCCCTACACAGCTCCTCCTCATTACCCATACACAGCAATTTGGAAGGACCCATAGTTATCTGAGTCAGTTGTTCTAGAGAAGAGTAAATCTAGAAAGAGTCCACCATTACTCCTACTGACAAAAAAACAGTCTTTTCCTGGAGTTACTGAAAAACATGACTTTTCTGAGGTTATATAGTCAGATAAGCTAGAGGAGTCCGCACTGCAGTCACATTGAGGTGGTAATCTCACAGAAAGGTCAGTGTTTCATTGGCTAGAGGACATTGGTAAACCCACAGCTCCCTTTTCTTTTTTTCCAGACCAATATATGCTTCACCCATTGGCTGTAATCTGGAGGATGCCAGCCACCAGTCTAGTTGGGGAAGCATTACTTTTTGGAGCAGTACTTCTGGAGGCTCCAAAAACAGACAGCTGGGGTCATATTTATGAAAGCATCAATTTGGAGTTTTTACATGCCTGATAGGCTGCAAATAAGATTTAGACACCTTCTTTGTCTTTGCAGGTTCAAGCTATACAGAAATCAGTAGACTGCAGATTTCCAGTGGAAAACAATCTAGGGAAAGCAAAAGTATACTGAAGTTGGTATAATTGTCTCAGTGTCAGTTCAGTTCTAAGGAACATAACCAAAGCAGATCTAAAGAGGCATACTGAAACATAAAACAGATGAGAGCTCTGGAGCCAGTGACATGAGCTTGCTAAATGTGGCTTGAAATGTGTCTGTAAAGGTTTCCAAGTTTTCTGATTTCCTTAGGTCCTTCTCATGAATAGTGATTCACTATATAAATTGGCTTTTCTAAACTGAGCTTTTTAATCTCCATGATTCCATTATTTTCAGTAATACTTTGTCTTTTCTTTCATGTATGAAAGCAATGGAAACAGACTTGTGGAAACCTGGACTGAGCTTTTTTGACACAGGTAAATATTTAAAGCATTTGGTAACCAGACTGGGAATTATTGTTTTCCATCGTGTGTGGGGAAAGCTCACACTATTCATCAGGCCCATGGCATTGCTGATAACAATCTCATTCTAAGAAATAATTATGGTATTTAAGATGACAAATGAGGTATGTCGTTTACATCTTAGTAGTTAAAATTATTTTGAGCCTTCATCATTCTCAAGTTCCTGCCAAAAGTGAGAGCAGAACAGATGAGCTCTGCAAAGAATTGGCAGTTGTACTGCAGGAAAGAGGTTCTAGCTACTGAAATTCACTTGTAAATAAGAAGGTATTTTGGGAATGCCACCGCTGGCGCTGGGAAAGCAGTCTAGAAATGCCATCAAAGAAAAAGATGGCAGATTATTCTGATGCAAATGTACTTAAGAAGGAAGGGCATTCAGATGAGAATGGTGGATTAAAAAATAGTGGGCATTACTGAAATTTTCTAATGTTCTAGCCTTTAAAAGTCAGAAGACAGCATTTTTAGAAGTACCGGTGAGTGAGAAAAAAAGCTTTACATTTGTAGCAGGCTTAAGAGGCAGAAGATCAAGACTTGAGAAATTCTTAGCCAGGTGCAGTCTGCAAGTGCACATCCCACACATTCAGTATTTAAGGGATCTCCTTCCGTAAGAACATTTAAAGTAGACTATGCAAAGTCTATTATGCAAAGTCCATGCAAAGATATGGCAGTTCATCACAGCGTGCTCTTACTAGGAGCTGGACTATCCAGTATAAGGTGTCTTTTCCATTACCAGTTTTGCTGCTGGAGAGAGCTGTGCCATGTTGGTGGCCCTTGCAAAGACCATCCCCCCACACACCCAAAGCCAAGGTGTGACTAATCCTCCCACTGGCTGCTACCAGCAGTGTTGCCTATTTGCATTAGTTTGCAAATCCAGTGGCAGTGGCTCTTCAGTCAAAATTTGCATAATCTCGAACGTGAACAGATTTCCCTTCTCCAGGGGTGGCACTCTGAGCCATAGAGTGAGCATGTTTCTATCCAGCCTTCAGTGGGTTTAATTAGAAAAAGCTGCAGCGCAGTGTACAGGGCCAGTGGTGCAGAGGGGCACCCTGAGACACCAAATGACAAATTGCATTGAATGCAATGAAAAGTTGAGTGTGGGAGAAGGGATGTTGTATCAACAGTTTCTCAGAATCTGAAGCGTCCGTGTGATAAAGTCTGATGAATTCAGATTGTCATTTCAAAGGAATGGTTCCTGGTGTGCATGCAGTCACTGCTGTCTTGCTGAAATGAATGGGGAGTTTAATCAGCATAGACAGCTGTGACAATCAGTGAAGAGAACTTTAATTAGCATGGAGTAGGCTACCCATGCAGTGAGTTCAAATTCCCATGGCAGTAACAACCTTAAAATCCGCAGATTCTGACCACCTCCCCAATTAGTGGGGAAGGTTATTTGGTGGGCGACCTTATTGTTACAGTGAGCACAAAGCAGCTTGCTGACCCACAGCCTCTCAGAACAGCTGGTGGCACCAGCAGCCAGAATGAGGAGTGCCATGGTGCTCAGATGCACTGTGCTGACAGAGCTCATGGCAGCTTTAGGTATGGACTGCAGATTTTATTGAGCACAGACACACATGTGAGGGAAATAGCTGTGAATTAACTTCCCCATAAAGTTTGTCTGCTAAAATGTGAGGCATGTGTTAGTATCTAACCTCACAACAGCCTTTAATCCATCTGTTTCATGACCTGCAATAAGGTAAGCAGGAATGCAGTATGTATGTGGTGCCAAGCACTACGTGTTGGAACGTAGTGCTGCAAGGTGGAATGTGGCCTTGGTCTGCTACTGAGGGAAATTACACACCTGTGATTAAAGGCGATACTGGAGTACACACAGTCATAAGGACAAGTTGCTGAGTATTTCAGGTTTTAAAGAAAAAAAAAGAACATAAATGAAATGGGGCTAAACTTAGTGCCCTTTTCCTACCTCGTTCATATGGGAACACCCAATGTCCTTCACAGGGCCAGGCACAGTGCCCAGCCAACACAGCATCCTACCCAGTGACAGATGCTGGGGGTGAGAAAGGCAGAGGGCAGTCACACAGGAATGGAACTGGCAGGGCTGGCTGATCCCTGCCGCAGAAGGTATCTCCCTCACTGGCAGCTGAATTTAGAAGTGAGATGCCAAAGCAAGACTTCTGCCCAGTAATGTCCCAGCAGCACGCTATAGCTACGCACAGGGGATCAGGTGCCAGGTCTGACACCAGTTTGAGGACACAGCCTCAACAAAACCTCCTCTCCTGACCCAAAACTGCACACAGCTTCATTGTGCAGGGGAAACAGCTCCAAGCAGTTGTATTCTTGTGTTCATTCCCACGAGAGGTGAGTTGGTAGATGTAAATAGAGTGGAAGGTAGACTGGTGGGAGTTGGAATTTCCTGTTTTCTTGAATATTTTCTGCACTGTTATGGCTCAGTCATTAATAACTCTGGCAGCCAGCTCAAGTGGTGCACAAGCTCAGAGCTGTTACAGCTGCCATCAGATTCTGGTAATGCTCTTTGCTGATGTCCCTTGGCCACCCACTTTACACATGCAGTGCTCACATACAGGGGCTGCTGGCTGCCCTGGCAATGGAGATGGTTGAGGTGAGTTGCCAGGACTTGCTACCCACCCTCACTTCCCTCTCACATTTAGCATCTTCAGACTGCAGGTGCTCAGCAGCAGCCCAGGGGCTCCCTCCAGGCACCCCTGCAGACACCCAGAGCTGGGGCAGACCAGCACACCTCAACAGAGCCTCTCCTCTCCTCCGTTTCTCCAGGTTTTGCTTCAAAGGAGGAACTGAACCTGAAGCCACTGGAGACAACCTCCCAGGGGAACCCAAGTATGTACATCGGAATTAATGTCATAATTACACGGTACCATTTTATTAATTACCTGCTACTAGAAGGGATTCAAATTAAATAGCAACTACGACTTTTTAAAGAAAACTTAAGATACTTAAGGAATACATTTTCATCTGCAGAGGATCAGCAAGTGCTCTCTGCCAGTCCCTCTGACAGATACAATTGGTTTTGCTTTTCCAAGAAAGGCATTTCAAGATGTAGCTTACCTGGGTGTCAGGACGATGGCTGCTCGCTGCTCCTGTTCAGGGTGAGCTCAGCTCCACGCTCTGGGCACACACAGCTCCTCTCAAGGCGTTGCGATGGTGCAGGACAACAAAGCAATGAGCTGCAGCCAGGGATGGGCAAGCAAACCCTGATGACCGCACACACTCCTGTGGCCACACAGGCGCTCTTTCTGATGCGGAGGGTGGGAGGGAAAGAAACCGCCTGAGAAATGGACGCAGTCAGGAGAGAGGTTCTGTGCCCCGGCTGGGGTGCTGAAGGAGCATTGAGGAGCCCTCCATCTGGGATGGAGATGTCACATGCTCTGAAAAGCAAGCCTTGCAAAGTCCTTTGTAATTAAAGACAGGTTTGCCCATTAACTCATCTTGAAATGAGGCCCAGACAAGAAGGAGGAAGGGAAAGCAAACCACAAATGCAGAGATGGGATCATCCACCTCTTCAAGGGAATCCTCCCTGGCAGAGGGGCTCACCTCCTGCTGACCCCAGGGCCTCCTGTGCCCTTCCTCCCACAGCTGAGCGCTCACTTTTGTCTCGAGTCCTCTTTACCTTAAATGCTGAACCAAGCATTCCTATATCCTCAGTTGCTCCTCCTAAAAATCTTACTATGTTTTGTCTCATCAAAAAACGTCAAATACACCTTATAGAAGTAACAGGAAGGAGAAGAAAAGGAGAAGGATGCCCTTGGAGATTCAAACTCACTGTAGGAAAGCAGAGCTCAGTACAGCTCCCTACAGAGCACACGTAAGCAGAGTTCTGCTGCTGATCAAGTGCAGGAACACTTCTACCATTCAAATGCAGTGAATTAAGTTGGAGCAGGCATGTAAATCTCAGATCCCGTCAGCTAAGAAACTTCCACTATGCATGTGGACATCCCATGAGGTATTTCCCTTTTAAGGCCAGGAGATTCAGGAAAATTTGGCCCCTAATTAAGGTATTATTTGTTTTGAGTTCCCAGCCTTGCCTCACTCTCTGCTGTGAAAGAACATGCTTTTCGGTCACGCTTCTCTAATTCAGCATTATTAGAATTAAAAAAACAGACAGCTACGGGAGAAAGAATTGAAAGTAATGAGATGGGAGACAGTTGCATAAGCCAGTAAGAACAATTGGCACTTTGTCGCCTTCAGGCTATCTAATGATTAAAACACATGATTTTGGACAGTCTGATTGGTAGGAGACATCATCGGAGACAAATCAAGAGATACAGACGGCAGGAGAAAACAGTAGCGCTCCAGTGAAGCCAAATTTTGCTCCACTCCTGGTCACGGTTCAACTGACAAATGTTTCACCACTAACGTGAGGAGAAGTAGAGGCAGGCTGGTAGGGACCACACTTAGCACATACAGAAGCACAAAGATCAGGTTCATCTGAGTAACTAGCAGGAAGAGTTTGAGTACAGACACAGCTTTTATCTGACTCAGGCAACACCAAAATTGTGCTGCTGTACACACACAGGTGAAACCCACAGCTGCTTTGGGAACAACTGAAGCTCAGGTCAAACACGGAGTGGGAGCTGCTGTCACCACCTCACCAGCAGGCACAGCACAGGGGCAATGACAGCCACCTCCTGCCCCACACACTGGCTGTCCACACGTGCCCAGGGACACCTCAGGGTGGCTGTTGACAAAACAGGCTCAGGCCAGCCACTACGTCACCATCAAAAGCATTTTAGTAGAGCTTGTGCAGCAGGAAGAGTCACCAGGTGCAGAGTTTTTAGGCCTTTGCTCTTCAAAAGAAGCACTACTACTAAAAGGACCAAAACCATTTTCCCTGCTTTGTGTCTCTCCTTAGGCTGCAAGGTGGATTTGTCCTTCTTGATGGATGGGAGCTGGAGCATTGGTAAACGCCGCTTCCAGCTCCAAAAGCAGTTCCTCATTAACGTGGCTCATGCCCTCGGCATCAACAGTGCTGGGCCTCTGATGGGCATCGTGCAGTACGGGTAAGGGCCACTTCTGCACCCAGGCTACAAACCTAGCTCTGTTTCATTATTGCTGTAAATGAGAATTGTAATATTTAGAAATAGTTGTTCCTGAAACACCCTCTAGAACTCCACTAGTGTGGCCTCACTGATAATTTATCTTTTCATCCATATTCACAGCATGGGACTTCTTTTTGTTATTACTGTTGGTGCTTCCATGCTGTGACCTCCACCTGTGGTTACGCAGTGCAGGAGCTGCTGGAGCAGCACTCCTCTCCCCCAAGAACCCCAGAGGATAATGGGCACAAGCATATCAAAGAACAGTGTCAACCTGCCTTCACAACCTGTTACACTCTTTGCTTTGAGAAGGTCTCTTACCCCTGCTTGCCACCTTCTCCTTTTTCTGTCAGTCTGTGGGAGCAGTCAGGCATTCAGCACACTTGCTAGAGACAAGCCACTCCCATCACCATCAATATACATCTGGCTGTAGCATGCTAAAGCTTGCCAGAGGAAATTCAGGATGGATATTAGGAAGAATTTCTTCTCAGAAAGTAGTGAGGCAGTGGCACAGGCTGCCCAGGGAGGTGGTGGAGTCACCATCTCTGGAGTTGTTCAGGAACTGTGTTGGATGTGGCACTGAGGGGCATGGTTAGTGAGCATGGTGGGGATGAGTGGTTGTTTGGACTAGATAATCTTGCAGGTTGGAAACAACCTTAATAATTCTACATTTCCTGCTCACACCCAGGAGCAAAATAGGACAGAAAGCTCTTACAGCTTTTGTATCGCTATACGTAAGGCAAAAAACCTGACAACTGCTTCATGTTTCTTTCCATCTGCCAGTGATGACCCTTCCACAGAATTTAACCTGAAAACATACACCAGCCCCAAGGACCTAAGAAATGCCATTGAGAAAATCCCTCAGAAAGGTGGACTTTCCAATGTTGGTAGGTTACGGGCTGCATGCACACCCTCAGCATAGGGAGGGCTCCAGAGCCTGGAGTGCTGCCAGCCCTGTAACTTATCCTCAATCTCCTCTTTCATTTCAGGAAAGGCACTTTCATTTGTCAACAAAAACTTCTTCTCGGATGCTAATGGAAACAGAGGTGGAGCGCCCAATGTGGTGGTGGTAATGGTGGATGGATGGCCAACGGACAGGGTGGAGGAGGCCTCCAGGCTGGCCAGGGAATCAGGGATCAACATTTTCTTTGTCACTATTGAAGCAGCTGCTCAAAATGAGAAGCAAAATGTTATTGAGCCAAACTTTGTGGACAAGGTACTTACTGGGCTGGGCTCTGGCTGTAAACACTTGCCTTGGAGTCCACCTTTTTCAAGTGATTTTGCACAGGGGCTTAAGCACAGTCACACTTATGAGACATTTCCCTTCCTTCTTACCACTCATGGTTACTTCTGGTCCTGCTTAGACTGTTAGGCAGTGCTGAAGTTAGAAAGGTGACCTGTCTGAAAGCTGCTAAGAACAAACTTTGGCTCGCAGTAAAGCTCTGGTCTGAGGTTCATCATGAAGCAAATGGCTCTTTGCTGACCAAGCGTTGACACAAACCTGCAGACAAGATTTTCTGAATGTACAGCAGCATGACAAAGCACAAAAAAAAAAAGTAGGAAAAAAGAAAAAAGAGAATGCAAGCCTTGCACTATTAACATTTGGCACTGCTCAATAGTGTCTCAGAGCAAGGTGACACAAGGTTATGGCAGGAGACATCTACTAAGTTCCAGACTCACTTGAGCTCAGGAAGCATGGCAGAGTTATCTGCTATTTTCAGAGAACAGATTCCTGCCTGAGCCACACTGCTCTGCCATGAAATAATTTCCATTAGTTTCAAGGCTGTTTCAGAACTCCGTTGTTTCTGGTCAGTGTTTAATTGGATTATAGCCTGATTTGCATTTATTTTTCAAAATGGCAAAGCTACAGTGAGTCTGTGTGAGCCTGCCAGAGAGCACAAGTGGGAGAATGCTCCCTGCTTCGTGCCGCCCCTTGGTTTCTACCTACATTCACCCAAATCCCCCTGATCCTCTAACAGCTTCCTGCAGATCTGCTCCCTACCAAGTATTTGGTGATAAAAACAGACATCAACATGGTTTTTGTCTGTCTGTCCTTAATTATCTGGCAGAGCCAGAACAACTGAGAAAGGCTTTTACACTTTTATCAACATTTCTTGTTCTTTTTTTTTTCTGATTGTACAGCCAGGGAGAAACCAGCTTCAGCCTGAGGTTTCAGTTCAAGGCAGGAGGGTTTATCAGCAGGGAAATCCATCCTTGTTGCCCTAACCCTCGGAGGGAGGGAGCTGAAGTTGTTATCTGGCAAATGTTGGGGCTTCCAGGTGGAGCCACACAAACAGCGTCTCTGTGATTTGGATGCCTTCTCTACAAACAGTGTAGATGCCTTCTCTACAAACTTATCTCAAAAAGCTAGACAGGTGGCAAACCTGGTTATTACACTTCTTTCATGGCTATAATATCAGCTCCATCCCACAGCTTTAAAAAAGGGGAAGAGAAGAGACAAGTATCTATAGAGAAGTATCTGTGATGTTATATTCACGACATTTCCCAGGGAACCAGATGGCAGCTAGAGGAGAGCCCGCTCCAGACTCCAGCATTGCTCTTTCCAAGAGCCTAAATTTACAGTTTAGCTAAAATCCCAGTTGAAACAAGCAGACTGAATTTCCACTGCATTCGTACTTGTGGTATTTTGCAGGCAGTGTGCAGAACAAATGGCTTCTACTCCATCATGGTGCCCAGCTGGTTCAGCCTCCACAAGGTCGTCCAGCCCTTGGTGAAGCGGGTCTGTGATATCGACCGGCTGGTTTGCAGCAAGACGTGTCTTAATTCAGCCGACATCGGTTTTGTGATCGATGGCTCCAGCAGCGTTGGCACCGGCAACTTCCGCACAGTCCTCCAGTTTGTAGCCAACATCAGCAAGGAATTTGAGATTTCAGACACGGACACGCGTATTGGAGCCATTCAGTACACGTATGAGCAAAGACTCGAGTTCAGCTTTGATAAGTACAGCACAAAGCAGGATGTGCTGAGTGCTATCAAAAGGATCAACTACTGGAGTGGTGGAACCAGCACAGGGGCAGCCATCAGCTACGCCTCTGAGCAGCTCTTCACCAAATCCAAACCCAACAAGAGGAAGATCATGATTCTCATTACGGATGGCAGGTCTTATGATGATGTCCGAATGCCAGCCCTTACAGCTCACCAAAACGGTAAGTTATCATCATTATCTGCTCCTGTTTATTTGGGTCAGAGAAATACTTTCTGCTGTGATACAAAGGCATTGGATGAAACCTTAGGAAGGAAGCATAGCATCCACTCTGGGGTCTCATCAAGTGCTAAGCAAGATCAGCATCTGAATAAGGAACTTTCTGAAAGTAACACAGAACTAGAAAGATGCAGCTAGACCTAAGAGATTGCAGAGGATTTCTACTGTCTCCATAACATTTGAAGCGAGCTTGGGCAGTTCCACAGCAGACTCCAGGCATTTCTTCCATTTTGACAATGCCACCTCTTTTTTTTTATTTTATTTTATTAATTAAAAACTGCAATTCACTGCCAATTTTTTCATGGCCTAGTAGTTATGTCTGCAGTATTGGTCTTAACCAATCAAATGCAATGTAATTAAAACTTTTATGCTCACCCTTATCTCTTGGGTTTCTTTCCAGGAGTTATAGCTTACTCCATTGGAGTTGCTTGGGCTGCTGAAGATGAACTGGAAGCCATTGCAACAGATCCAGATAAGGAGCACTCCTTCTTTGTGGATGAATTTGACAACCTCTACCAATTTGTTAATCCTCTCATCCAAAACATTTGCACAGAGTTTAACTCACAGCCACGGAACTGATGGAATGGAACAGGCTAGGATCCTTGGGCATCATGCTGAAAACACACAATGCTTCAGGAACAATGCCAGCTCTGAGCTCAACAAATACTGGAATTATTTTTCTTTGGCACTTTCCAGTTAATGAGGTCGATTGCATCTCTGTCCTTATGTACGATAGTGCTCTGTGTAGGCTACTGATTTTTCCCCTGCAGGCTTCAGAAACTGATTTGGATGGAATAGAATAACAAGCAGGAGACATCAAGGAGGGAGTAAATGGAGCTGTTTGGAAAGCTAACAGTATAGAGCCTCAGCTTAGGTGATTCCCATCTCAGGGTACGCACAAGAACTAAAATGTACCACCTGCTTCCAGCAGTGCCCGGGACCCCCCACAGAGCTGTTACACTGCTCTGCTGCTGTGGTAGAAGCGCCTCCCTCTGACACTGTCCATTGCTCACAATCCAGGATAGGACTGACATCCTGAAATCCCAGGCACATACTGGGAAGATAGTGTGAATTCAAGTATTGAGCTTCATCCAAATCCAGAGACCAGAAAATCAGCAAGCAGCCATAATTGGGCTGTGGGACCCACATCCATTTGCCAATCCCCATAAAGCCTCAGATCTGCAAAGCAGCCGATGCAGGGGCTGGATCTCATCTCCCACAGTGCTGCATTAAATGTGCTTAAACAACAAGAAGAAAAAATCTTGTCCCCGTAGCTCACTTACACCATCTTTTGCCATGCAGCTCAAGGCCTTTGCAAAGCAGGAGAGCCGCGGAGGCAGAAGAGGCTCCTTCAGTAAAAACTGTGGGTTTCAGTTGCTCACTGTCTGAAAGGTTTCTCAGACCCCCACTGCTCTATCACCAAACATGGCACAGTTAGAACAGCTTACAGCAGACTTTAGCATGAGGATAATTATTCAAGAGCCTTTAAAGAGGCTTAAGAGGGAAATATCTTAAAGCTCTGTATTACACACTGGGAAAAGCAGTATTTCTAGCATTCACAGGCACCCTCTTCTGAATTTGGTGTGGACTTCTGTTGTATGGATTGATTTCAAGACACGCCTTTACAGCCCCATGTTATTCAGAGTACGTAGCTGTTCTGTCTATGGAGAAGCAGCCAAAGCACTGATCAGCAATGGGAGGAGTGACGTGCAGAGGTCTTTTGACATTGCACTGCATGGCAGGTAGCAAGCAGCAGTTGCTGGTAGTTTTCATCTGGTGTCATGTATGATAATACATCCCTTAAGCAGAAATTACCAAAGGAAAAGGCTGAAGTTTCAGTGCAAGTACATGCATGTGTGTTCATGCACATTACGGTAATTACAGCACAGATTTGTGGAACTAACAGGAAATTGAAAGGAATTAAAGCTCACATTCCCCCTCTTACTCACAAATTAATTTTTTAATGTTATCATTCACACAAAGCAAATTAGGGTAAACTGCCACCAAAGGAGCACCCTTTGGTGCACCCTGACACCATCTTTCAAATCTTTGTTTGGAAATGGGACTAAAGTAGATTAAAAATTCCCAGAGAAGTTACCATACTTCAAAGCATTGCAAACAGCCCATTCAACACAATTCCCCAGTGTGATGAAATGAGCCAGGTGAGGGTTCCTTTGCTTGTGCTCCAGCCACTATTCCTAAAGCCATGCCGGATAAGTGGTGGTTTTACATTGGATTTACTGGGGACTTCATATTCTTAATATTGCAGGTTAATTCTTAATAGACAGCTTGCTACTGCATATCAGAGCCGTACTGGACATACCCTGGCAGCACAGGAGAGCAGCACTCTGCAGATGGTCCTGCACACTGTGCTTATGCTCTGCAGCCAGAGCCACAGGTGTTCTTTAACACATTTTCATTTGTACTGAAAACTTCGAGCAACAGCAAGTTTTCACTCTCCACAGAGAAGCTGAACAGCTATCTTCCTCATCAAACATTTGCTTAGCGCATGGCAGGGTTTGCTGTTGTCTAAATGGTTAATCTTGACTTTCACAGAACACCTGTGGTGCTCAGATGCCAACAAGCCATTCTATTCACTTCTTGAGATGACTTTGAAATTAATTTTTAATCTGACTCTCATCTAAACTGAGATGCCTTAAACACAGTGAAATTGAGCATAAGCCACAGAAATCCCAATACAGCCTTCCTTCAACAGAAGAGGATCAGCACAGAATGTGGTCCTCTATAGCTGCTCACCTTCCATAGCAATAAAAACACTTGTCACATCTGAAGTCTGTCAGTAATAATAATAAAAGATAACAACCCTTCATAAATGACTGGAGGAGTTATGTTGGTTTGGAGAAAGCAGAACTCCTTCTGTAACATATACAAGCTGTTCTGAGCTTCTCAATACAAGTTGCTATATCTTTTGCAATAAAGATGTCCCAAAGGCACACAAAGTCTATTTGTATATATGTAGTTTCTCAAGTGCAGCTGATGTTTCTACAAGGCTTTAGAAGACAAAGCAAGGATGGGAAAAAAACAAACAAGTGTTTGGATGCATTTCTTTTACATGCTCAGCTGAAAAAAAATAAACCTAGAAGGGAGCAAGCAGGGGCAGGAACAGCAAATTCCCTGTCAGAGGAATCAGACATTGCAACAGAGCCTACTGGTCTGAAAGGTCTCAAATATGTATGCACATCTTGCTAAGCCTGCAAGATAGTGTCTTATTTGAAACCAGACATCTTTTGGAAGCTGAAAAATAATAAAAACACAGGCTCTATTCTTTTTAGATGTGGGACTGAATCAAAAGAGGGTTTAGATATCCCAGCACTCGATGCTGGGCCACTCAGTATTAGATGCCTGATCATTGCAGTGAGGCCTGCGGCCTGGCTGAGGCATCCAGAAAAGCAGACCTGGAGCCAAATTTCTCACTGAATATACAGTCAAAAAGGAGCTTCTGATCACGCTTTCCTTACAACATGAGTATCTGCACTTTTCAGTTATCTCAGCAAAGGTAATAACCCATTTCAGGTTCCTCAGCAGGGTCTTACATGGCTAGGCCAGTGGCTCCTCTGCCCATTCTGTGCACCCACTCGCTTCTCAGCTGCTGCCGCCTTGCTGCTTCAGCAGGCAGCAGCTTTCCCTGTGGCAGCTTCTCAATCTGCTCTTCCACAAGATGGCAGAGCAGCTTGTCTCCTCTCCACACTCTTCCCAGAGCCACTCTTTAGCATAGAAGGCTAAAAGCGCAAGAAGCCAGTAAACACTGGTGTTAAACAAGCTGACAGCCAACCAGACAGGGCCAAGGCAATCTGAATCTCCTTCACGCATCTACTACCCCACCTATCAGCTCCTCTCTATCTACTTGGCAAGTCAAAGCAAATTGCATATCAGAAATATTACCTAACATCATACAGTAAGAACAGTCTTCTGTGCTGCACATACATTTCATTGTTTCATACATTCATTATTTCATGGTTGAACACAATCACCACCTGAACCATTCCTCTAGTTGTTTTGCCTTGCCCAGCACCGTCTCCTCGTTACAAATTGATCCCATTCCATTTTCTTTTCCATCATCACCTCTCTTTGAGGAAGTCTTGAACAGTAGCAGGCAACCCACATTTGCTAAGTTGCCTCTATACTGAAAACATTGCAAATATACATCTGTGTGAGTGTCTCAAATTCAAAGTAGTCTTTAGGCCTCCTATGTGGGAGTGTTACTCCTACATTGTTCTTTCTCCTGCTCCTTATCTCATGAATTTTCTCTCCAGAGGCAGAACACTGAGTAAAAGCAATTGTACCATCGTTTCGTAAGACAATTCCTATTACTATTTTCCCATAAGTAGGGAAGAGGAGTAGTACTAAGTTAGAAAGGTTATTTTACCTATCATGGAGACAGAGGAGATGAGAACTTCACTTAGCCCACCTACAAGCTTAAAAAAAAAAAAACAACCAACCAGCAGGATGGACCTGCTAATGAGTTTCTTTACTCAGTTCTGTGTAGGTTCCCATACCACCCCCACAACAGCGTTGTTCCGATCGTTTTCCTGTAGAAACGGAGCTACCATCTGTGATGTGTGGTTTGCTCTCCTTAATCCTCTGCTGAAGGGTAGATTCATGCACTTATTTTTATTTTAAACAAATGTTCCACCCAGGAAGTGCATCATGCTTCACTGTGATTAGGGAAGGCTGATGGAGCAGCTCCTGATCAGCGGCACTGTACACATTTCACAAGTGTGTTCAGCAAGGAAAACACCAGGGACAGAGCACCTAAGTGCACGGAAAGATGCAAGGTTCCATCAATACCAAGAAAACAGTACAGTACAGAACCAAGACATATAAGAATAGAGAAGTTGAGACACTACTGCAAATGGTAACGCTTGACACAACTCAAAAACATTGACATGAGGTTACATCAGGTCCCTCCAAACTCTTGCCTACTTATGCTAGACTGTGTGCACTTCCTGCTCTGTGTACATACACCAAGAGCACAGATTGTTACAAAAATGCAGAATTACAAAACAAAATGTTGAAAAATAGTATTTATTAGCACCCAATTTACATAATTATATGGTACAAATGACACTTACTTGCTGCTGCAACATTAAATAAAGCTGCTTTTAAAAACCATTGCTTATTTCTGGAAGTCCATGTGATTTTGCTCAGCACAGAATGCGGGTACAGTATACAGCCATCCCACTTCACTACAGTCATATCAATATAAATACCTGCATGGTTATTTCTATGTGGTCTCATTTTAAATGGCACACTAAAATATGCAGACCTATACAATTTTAATGACAAAATATTTATTTGGACTATTCAAGCAAGTGAATGTAGTTTTAAATATAACCTATCCAAGAACCTTCACAAAGTATGAATTGCAGCGAAAAAGAGAAAATTCAGGGCCGCAATTGAGAAGCTCAAAAATATACTGGCGTATTTCAAAATAATCTCTCTCTGAATTTTCTGTCTTCGCCATTTGAGATATTTATCCAGGATTTTAAAATATTGGTTTTCAGTAAAAGTTAATATGAAGTGTTTGAAGAAGCATTTTTCTTTATAGCAAATATTTAGACTTTTTATAACAAAGGCTTATCAAATCTTTGGAGAATGATGACTTTGACTTTTCTTATTTCCCATAAAAGCCTTTCTGAAATCTTGAAATATATGAAAATTTGGGATCCTGACTCCCAAGTAAACCATTTCCTTTGTGAATTAGAAAGCAGTATCTCTCACTTAAAATAACATTCACCTCTGTACAACAGTAGCATTTAAAGAAGGTAATCTGGTGGTATTCTGACAATGTGGTACTGAACCATAATACAAACTGACAAGCAGACTATTACTCAACAAGTAGGCATTTCTCATTTGGATCCACCACTATGCAAGACACTAGAAGCCCAACACTGTTTCAAAGTAGTCATTCAAAACTGGCGTGCAAAATAATAACCTCAGAGTAATTCTGAAGGGGAATCTTAATTTCCTGTAGCTGTTTAAGCAAGAGTTCAAACATTAGTCACAGTAGCCTTTTCCTATTAACTATCTGTCATGGAAGTGACCCAAAACAGAAGAGGACCACATGTAAATATTGACATATAAGTGGTTATCACCTGTGGTATCTTCTCTGAAAGAACTGTCAGGTACCTCTAAATTCAACAGTTTTTCCTAGGGAGGGGAAAGGGTATAGATGAATATAGATGAAGATAAAGAACAACAATCCAAACCATGACCATGCTGAAAAACCAATCAGTTTTAATTACTTCAATCTTATGAATGTAAGTTCCATAAGACAAGGAAATTCATCTGGATTTTTTTTTTTAACCTGACAGTTTCTCTTAAAAGAAACCAATTGAAGATATTTAGATGAAATACAACGCAGGTTGATCTGCTGACAAATGTCAACAAAAAATCTTACAGCAGCAATAGTCTTCTTATCACAGATTTCTATAAGATTTTCAGATGCGTGATTCAAGGAAGTTACAGCACAAGTCTGATTTTCAGTCTGATTGGTCTATAATGGGCTGTACAAAAAATTATGAGCAATCATCTTCATTTTGCATTTCCGGAACAAGTGCTAACGCATACGAAACAGTTTTCAAAACCTGTGCATGCTTGTAAATGCATGATTGCAGGAAAACAGTTCTAGGAGCCACACATCTGAAAACAAGCAACATTCAATAAGCACTATCTTAATGAGAGGAAGAATAAAAAAATAAATTCTCAATGGAAAAATATTAGCTTGAAGTCCATTGCATTTCCCTTACACAATGTTTTTGGCTGCTTTTTTAAAATAATCCAAAATTATGAAAATATTTGGCTTGGAGATAAGTCATCCCTTTTCTTACAGAAGAATACAAATGCAGCTTCGTAAATCTTTTCTCGGCTTTCCAGTATAATACTCCAGTCTGAGGACCAAGGGTTTCTCTGAAGTAGGAGGGAGTACCTTTGAGGCCTGCAAGGGCTCGAGGACCTCGCCAGCACAAGGCTTTGAGCAGCTTCAAAAGCATACACATTGGCATGGTTTAAAATGAGGTGTGATCTCCCAGGATCACAGCGTGGCTTGGTGGCACAAACTGTGCCAAATTAGTTGGACACACAATACGATGACTCAGGGACAATCAAGAACAAAGATAGGCTAAAGCATGTGTATTATTAAATACCTCTTTAGTTCAGCTATACTTCACATTTTATCATCCAGCATCAAACCTCCCTTTAGAATGACCCAGTTCAGACCCATAAACTCTACTGTGGAACTGGAATGACTACAGAGTCATCATCACTCTGGAATGATTCTGTAGTTGTTTTTGGGAATCTGAATTCCTTGAATGATGTAGTACTTCCTAAATTTTCACAACAGATCAAAGGGTAGAGAAACCATGTCAGAAGGCAGGATCAGAGAACTCAGTAGACTTACATGAACTGGGACCAAGGAAGTATAGAACAGCCTGTTGGTGATGGGAGGCGCAATTTCGAAGCTGAAACCGCAATACTCTTCAAAAAACATTCTAGATCAAATGCTTTTATGAAATTTATCCTGCAATAAAAATCCACTGTAGCTATGGTATTATGACTCCAAGAAAAAATATATATATATATAAAAAAATAAGTGGAAAGATAAGAGTGAAATTTCAAAAAGACTGATAACCTTCACAACAGGTACATATGTTAGTACAGGCACAGTTGTAATTTTGAAGGTCTCATTGCCAAGACCTTCCCTTCCTGGATTAGCCTCATCAGTTGCATCCTGAGCATTTGTCTGTACAAAGGCTATTTACATAAAGGTCACTCTTGCACCCTCCTCACTCCCCAGATGTTTCTTCATTCACTCTGTTGTACTTAAGTCTGTCTCTTAAAATGTGAGGTTTTTCATGATTGCATCGCCTACCACTTTGTTTTCTGTCAGATTCATTGCTACTCAGCAGAAATACTGCAGAGGGTTTGCCTAACAGTTCACAGGCCATTAGTTTCAGTAACAGTGTGCTCCTCTAAAGTGATGAAATAGTCAAGACTGTTCACCTATTGCAACCTCTGCAATTAAATATGTTATCAGATTTGAATAAAACATTTTCAATTACTACATGTCTTCACGGAAAAAGAAAGCTTTAGGTTTCCAGAAAAACTGTTGCTTCCTCTCTGTGCTCAACTGAACTTACCATTATGATGCTAACCAGCAGCAGGTGCCCCCCCCAATCAAACATTTCATACAAAACAATTTACCATATGTGAATATTTTACTATCATTTCTGATACCTTCATTTTTAACAGTGTAGGCTAAAACAGTTTCCACTACAGCCACAATTTTTAGTGCTATAAATGCCGTATTACAAGCAGCACCACATTTTCACAGTTATTTCCATGAATTTCACCTTGTCCACAAGAAAGCTGAGATACGTGTGCCAACTGAGTTTCAATTTAACTGAAACCACTGGTCCCATTCACTTACAGGAGAAAGTAAAGTTTAAAAAGACACAACAATATTTAGCAACACAAGCAATTGTTTTGGGCAGCTTGTCTAAAGCAACAGTTTCTCCACCTCTGACACAATTATTCCACAGTTTGGAATCTGAACATATACTACACTTTGTCCTTCACACAACCGGCAGCCAATGGGTGTGTGAATGAATAAATCTGAGGAGTCATCACAGGAAAGCTTCACTAAGATTGCTACTCCACCCCTTAGCAGAGTTCCCTCTGCTATCATCAGCTTGAATTCTACACTGCTTCCCAGCCTAGTTATTCTGAGCTGACACCTACAGGGAGGGCACATTGGTTTTGGCATTTAAACTGTTTCAACCTTCAGAGTTCATCCAACATCCTCCCTCACTGTTCAGCATAGTGACCACTAGAGATCTTCAAAGCAAAAATATGAGTAATCTCATTTGCAGGAGCCATTCATGTTAGATTGCAAGCTTGATGCTTCAGCAAAGAGGACTCCAAGAAGAACGCTCTCTATCAGTCCTGTACAGGCACAGGAACAAACAAAATAACTGCACTTTCCTCCACAACTCAGCCTATTTTACAAGGTTTTACTGGAGAACATTCTTATTGAACATTTTACACCGAGAGTCCCCAGAACAGTCTGCAAACTGTCCAAACTACAGTCTGCAAATGGCTCCAAACATGCATCTTGAGAGGCATTCCAAACACTGAGATGGTTCTAACTGCTTCTTAACTTCATGTTTCTTGTGTGATGGACTAATGCTGATAAGTGATGCATGAGCTTATGGAAATCACTGCTCCCAAAAATGACACTGATAAAACATGAGGAACAGGGAGAGGGAAAGGGGACACATTTGAGATCAAACAGGTGTACCTCAAAAGGCAGTGTAACCAAGTCCTTTATCTGTCACATAATTTCTCAAAAGGATACATTTCTGATTACTGATGACAAAGCTGTATGGTAACTACATTTCCTCAAACATATTATGTATGGGACTGCTTTTACATAACACAATTTGAGAACATACAGATAGAAAACAATCAACAGTATGTGACATGTCATTATCTTAAGACTTCTTGCTAAAGTCTTTTAAGTAACAAAATCTTTTATTTGATATGTCAAAACACTTTCTTCTGAGGCACAAACACGCAAAAAAAAAAGGCAAACAGAGATTTTTCGGGAGAGAAGGAAATATTTTCCACAACAAAATTATATCTAGAGCTTCCTCCAGGCTATTCTAAATCATTTTGTGCAAGTGTTTTGGCAACTGAATCAAATATAATTAAAGTGAAAGTATACAGCAATGAAATAAATTAGTAAGAAAAGTGAGAGTATTTAAACCTATTGGACTCATTTTAAATGTATGAAAGAATTGCAGATTCTCCCATTAAATTAGTTAGCAAAACCAAAATCAGTAGCACAGGCTAACATACACAAAAAATTCTACAAGTTAACCATTAAAAAACGTATCATGTCAATTAAATACATGAAAAAGGACAATGGTAAAAGGCAATATACAGTGTCACACAAAAATGTCGCTATTTGTTGGTTTGTTTTGGTTTTTTTTTTTCTCCAGGAACAACCATTAAGTTCCATTTTGTTTGCATCTTCAGATGGATTTATCACATTCGTAAAAATTACCAATTATACTGAACCAGAAAGAATTGCATTCTAAAGTGAAAAAAAAAAGAAAGAGTTCTCTCTGAGATCAGAAGTTCAAAGCATTTAAAAATAAGTTATGAATAAGCATCTAGCTGCAAAATAATTTTAAGTACATACTGAAAGTGAAGGAGAAACTTGAGAAGCAGCAACGCTGAGTTAAAGAAAACAATTGTCAGAAATGAGATCTGGGTATAGAGATACTAGCTAGACCAAAACATTTGGACTTCCTACACAAAAGTATCGTGTAGAGGGGAAAAAAACCAAAACCCTCCACATTTAACAGATCCCCTTCAGACTAAGTCTGACAAAGCACTGTACGTGGAAAGGCATTGTGGGCACCAGGATACGGAGACAGGAACTAAAGAAGCTGAAAACAAGAAAAAGTTGTGTAAAAAGAGCAGATTGAAAAACAGCCTAGAGAGAGGGGAAATATGCAGCTAGAGCTAGTGCATACACAAAGGTTCCAAATCACAGAGGTGATGAGGAGTATTTAAAATGGCACAAAATATGACTCGAAATACCAGCATGAAGTTACAAAAAAAGAACCACTAAACGTCAAATAAATCCTCCTGCCAGTGAGAAGCAATCATCGAAATAATCTTCCGAAAGAAAATTAATCACTTAGAACACATACAGGAGCTCACTGGCCAAGACAATATTAAAATGCACAAGTCAACAATCCTGCTTGAGTGAACAGATGGACTGGGTAACCTAAATAAATTTTTCATCCCTAACTCCTATGATGACGTTCAGAAGATCTGACAGGCTCATGCACAATACCCTGCAGTCCTACAAGTATGTGAACAAGTACAGTAAGAAGACATTGACATCAATTATGAAGACCAGCACAAAAATATATATCCACAACCTCTTTGTAAGGCTACATTTGTTTTGTTTTGTTTTTTTTAAAGGCACCTCATCCTCTAGCTATTGCCAGCTTTAAAAAAAGTCACTTCTCAGTTTGAGCAAAAGCTCGATAGAGAAGGAAACATCTTTCAATTCACATTTGAACAGCCACTTCTTACATTCCAATTGTAATCAGAATGACAGTCTTTAAAAACGAGCATGCTGGCCTATTCGTTTTATGTACAGCAATTTAAACAACTTTAACTACATATTGTATTGTGTAAGCAAAAGCACAACATTCATTTCATACTCACACCATTATCCTTTGTATACACAAACTCAAGAGAACTCTTAATACTAAAACATTAAAATGCACCCATAGAGTCTTCCCTTACTAGACATATTTAATACATGTTTACAATATATATACACATATGTAATATACATAGCTTTTAGAATTTTTCAAATAAATCTTTGTAATTTCCTCTCCAAAAAGAAATAAAATAATGACACTGAAAGAATATGAGTCAAGTACACAGAACTCTCACTAAGTTGAATGCTCAGTTTTGCAGACAAGTTTTCCCTCTTTTTATCATAATCAAAACATTTTTAAAAACTAAATCTGAATCATTATCGTAATCATCTGTTTCATGGTAAAAGTTCTAACCTTACCTATGAAAATATATTGCATATCAGTATCATGAAGTGACATATCTGAATATTCTGAGCAAAAAAAAGGTATTCCAGGATACTTTAGCAGTAAATATAATGTGTTGCAGGCTCAAAAAGCACAAGTCAACCTTTTATTCTAAATAATACAGTTAATCTAAACTCTGAGTTCAGCATCAATAGTGGTCCCATCTCTAAATATCACATGAACAACATGGTCAAATCCTATGTTGATATCTTTCAATGATTCCTTCTTAACAAGTGTCAGCGTAAAGGTTAAGATGATCAGTTTCCAGTCTTAGCCTCAGGCTGGTCTTTGAAAGGATTGCCTATGTTGGGTTCTTTCCTACTCACATCAGCACCAGAAATAATCGAATAATAGGCAGAATAAATTCTGCCTTCCATTCCAATTTGAGGAAAACACAAAGTCCAAACTGAAGAGCAGTAAGGGCTTTCATGGTGACATGTAACAAGAATCCACTCACTTTCATTATAGGGAGGGACAAAAGGGAAGGGATAAATTGCCAAATATTTTGGATTAAAAGTTACTTGTCACTTGAATCAACAGAGAAGTTCTGAATACTGAGACAAAACACATCTGTTGAGCAATTTTAAAAAAGCATTCGTTCTTCAGGTAACCTAATTAATGGCACAATATGCCCAGTGAAGCACACGTGGAAAAGTTCCACAAATGCTGTAGTCTGGAAATGCCTCTACAAGTAGCAGAAACTTTCACACAGATCGACCTTTGTGCAGGCACCTGTGATGCTGCTAGTAGGACTCATACAAAGCATAGGTTTAATCTTCAAAAGAAATTGAGTATTTCATGGTTACACAATGCCCAGAAAGATACCCTTTTTTTAGCAGGAACAAAAAGAGGAGGATGAACATATGATAATTACACTGTAAGAGTTTCTTTGGGAAATCTTATAATTTCTTGTGCCAGATCTCCAAGAAAAACAGTATTATAAATCTGAATAAGTTAATCTGCTACTGAAGTATGTACAGACTGCTTCAGTCTGCTGTTAACTGGGACTAGACTAAAGGCTAAGCTTCTAACCACATGCTAATGCAATTTAAAAAATTATACAATTTTTTTTTTTGCAAACTAAATATTTGCCATATAACACCAAATATTTAATAAAACTTTACTGTATTTCAATTTATGTTAGTAATTTGCTTTTCTTTATCCACATTTATCTTAGGCTAGCAGCCAGGTGGCTGAGATTAAGTATCAGCTACTGCTCTCTGAATGTGATCTACTCGTTAATACCGAAGAGATTAAGGGATGACAAAGTGCCTCTCACATGACACAATAACAAGCATCTGAACTGACACTTTTTCCAGGTGATTTAATCTTAAGTACATCAAGATTCCTCAATAAGAAGCATCCCAGAAAATTTCCCTCTTTTCCCTCTCTCCCTGAAGCAATTAGACCCCTTCTTTCCAGTACTCCATCTTAATAATAGAGAACACATAGACCTAATTTCACCCAAGGCCTGCCTGGACGAAAATTCACATCCTCTGAAATAAAACTGCCCTTTTTTTTTTTTTTTTTTTTTTTTTTCTTTTTTTTTTTTTTCCTTTTTTGAAAGTAGTTGAAACTGAGAGTTTCCAAGCTCTCAGCACCAGCTGAGCTCACAGAAACCAGAACAAATTTCAATTTAGAAAACAGCACCCTGCAAAAACTAAACACTTACAAACATTCTCTGATTGGGCAGGAGACTCACGCCCTTCTCTTCTCTTTTGTGCAGCTGGTTAAATATATACAAAGCTAAAGTTGGAAAGGGACACACTCTGTCATACAAACACTTTTGCCAGGGCATCTGCTCCTGCACTGGCAATGTAACATTTGGATGGGTGGAATGCCACATCATGAATGGACTCATCAAATTTTTTGCGATGAGCAGTGAACTCTTGGATGCAGGTCTTGCTTTCAAGATTCCATAAGCGAATTGAACAGTCATGACCTAAAGAAAGGAGAAATGGTTTCTTTATAATTCACGCTTGCTACCACTATGAGAAAAGGAAAATGAAATTTAATGTACTTACTGCCAGACATCAAGTACAAGCCATTAGGATCGACAGCTAAACTTGTAACTGCATCTAAGTGAGCTACCATGGAGTGGATCAGTTTCCCTTTGAAAGAAAATAATTCAAGTTACTTTCTGTAATTCACTGTAAACTGCGTTCACTTTTTAAACCTCACCACAGCCCATTTAATAAGTATATTATCTTGTCCCATGATTGAATCAGCAAAAATTGTAGGAAACCCCACTCTTTTAATTTTTACATGCTCAGTAATGCTGCAGAACCAATACCATCAACTTTGTTCCTTTGCTTTTTGTGTGCAAATCCATCCTGATGCTGCAATCACCGTGCACATGAAATATCTATCCTCTAAGGGACTTAAGTGAGTTGAGCAGTAAGACCTTGACTGAGAAGGAGGACATGGGCTGAGTACTCTGATAAGCAATGAATCTAATTAAATAAGAATACAGAATGATTTTAATCAACTCAGAGAGAAGTGATGTTCTAGAACAGCTTATTAATATTAATGATTTGGTGTGAAATACACAAAATCATGGCTCAGATGTATTTTTTTGGTTGCAGAAAATAATAAAGAAAAAACTGAAAAGCTCAGTGTTTCCTCTACGATACATTATGGCATTATATCATCAAACAAATAATCAATTTTCAGCTTTCATCTCAGTTTCCATTGGGTGCTTTTTATTTAACACATGTGAAGAACAGCTAGCATAAAATCAACTAGAATGTCGAAAGATCTCAGTTTAACTTTTAGGTCTGTGTGATCTGGAAGCAGAGAAGTCACAAGCTGAAGAAAATCAACATTTACAATCAGAATGACAGTTCAATGCTACCACTCCTACAAAAATTTCCTTTATGTAATTTATAATTATACAGCTTAGTACAACTCTCACTACAGATTTGAAAAAGTATTCTAATTGTCTACTGTTTCTGCAGAAAAGAGAGATGGAGAAATAGAGTGTAATAAACTGAGAATTATGCCCTGCAAGGAATCTGCTACCTCCAAATCATTAAGTGGAAGTCTTAGAAGCAGTAAAATGGTGCCTAGGCTCCCTGCCCTCATATCAGAGCTCTAGACAAGCACTATGAACATAAGGACATGAAAATTAAGAATTTGCCTTATTGATAACCACTAAGTTTAAAGCATTTTAATAGAACTAACAGAGTGAGTGATGAAGGTTCCTTATCATTATCCCAATAAACTTTTAAGTAGACTGGCAATCTGGGGGCTCAGGCAGTGAAAAAAAGATTTTTGTTTCAGAGGACATCCAGTTCTTAACATTCTTCAGCATTGTGCGCATAACATTAATCATAATTCTACTTGCATTTTATGTCATACAGCTAAATACTATGACTAGGTCCTGCTGAAAAGATACAGATGCATACCTGTATTGTTGTCATAGAATTTGATGTGCCTGTCTTCATGAGCAGTGATACTAATTGGAAGAGTCGGATGGCTGATGACTCTGTTTATCTGACAGGAAGTACTGACCGCTGAGGAAAACAAAGCAAAACATATTGACAGGTGTAAATTGCTAAGGTCTTTGAAAAACTGCAATTAAAAAATGCATATGTAATCAATTTTATATGCAATGTAATTTTTGGTAAGAATAAGTATTCAAAAACTAAGTGAAAATACTATTTTTGCATTTCCTCACCTCCGCACTGCTCCTCTTTGTCAAGTCAAATTTTCATTGTAACATACAGGCAGACAAGAAAGTTAACAATGTAGTAAGAATGTTTAAAAGTAAAGAGGATTCCTCACCACCACAGAACAAAAGGCATGTACTATCACTAGATACTAGGCTATTCATATGACAGGCACATTCTCAGCATTCAAGAATCCTGAAATATCACTATTTTATATTTATATAAATAGACATGCACGTGTGCAGCAAGTAGAAAATTACACAAAAGATATTTTGGTGGGTTATTTTTTTTTTTAATAGAAACCTAGACATTGACTTGCCAAGCACAGTGAGACTGCAGGAGTCCCTAAGCGGTGACGGTAAGCCATTTCAGATCACTCATCTACTATTGCCTAGTTCTTGTATTATTTATTTAATACAGCTAACTTTTAGAGCACAGTTACGTAAGTAAAAATACTAAACAGAGACTACTAGATGTCGGTGAGCTTCTTTTTTTTTTTTTTTTCAAAAAGAAGAATATTTTTGTACAGTTGTTTTTTTGGGGTTTCTTTTTACTACAGTGAGGAGAATCCTGCACAATAAAGTAATAATATGAAGAAGGAAGGCGGGATTTTCTGTTCATTCTTAAAAAATGTCAAATTTGTTAAACTTCATGAAAAGAGACGAGCAAAACTGGTAAGAAGGGCATGCTCCCTTTTAAAAGTATAATCATACAGTAGCATTCACTAGCATAAAAGTTTCAGCTGAAAAAAAAAATAAAAATCAAAGTTTTAAAAAAAGACTGAACATTTTTATAGTTCTCAGGTTACCATTTTGACCCAAACACAAATCCTTGTGCTTTAGCTGCTTCTGGCCCCTCTCCTAGAGATGGGAACACTGCCATGATCCAAAGCATTATGAAGGAGCTTGTGAGCTCTGCTCATCTTCAGTGAAAACTTCAAACAAAGCCTGATTGAAAATGAGCCAATACCGCTTACGAAAAACATAGAACTTGTCCCACACATTCACAGATTTTTCATGAATTCCACCTGAGATTTGTATGATACTATCTCTGACTTGCAATTTTGGACTAAAGAGAAAATGGAAAAACCTGATTAAAAAAATCTCAGGAAATTTTGTTCTTTTCCTTCTGCCACTGCTCCTTGAAGAATAAGTTACAGTCTCTGCAGTTCTTCTACCTTTTTTCAAAGCTATGTTTGCTCTTCTACTAAAAAGCTTCTTGCTTTAGTATAGTAATAACAACTTACTCCTACATCTTAAAACACTATGTTTAACATAATACATGATGCAAGTTACTAAGATACACCGTTTGCCTAATTGCTTGGAAACACTGAAAAGAATATTAACAGCATTTGAACTCAATCTAGCAATTTTTTTCTGTTTTGAATACATACCATTATCTACTCCAGACTCCAGGGTAAGAATCCGTTGCCGTGTCTCCATGTTAAAAATGCTAGTGTGTCCAGTGTTGAATGATGCTACCATGAGGCTTGGGTCACTGCTCACAAGATCTACTGAGGAAGGGATTCCCATTTCTAGAAAACAATGCAGAGAACATTTTCATAAGCAGCAGATTGTGTAAAAAAAATAGAAAAAGAACACCAAGCATTTTCATATTTAAAGTCTTATGATTATGAAATGTTACATTTTAAAAACTACATTATGACAATCCAAATAGATGGCCTGGAGTGATCACTACTTTAAACCTGCTTTTCTGGTATGTATTTCAACATTCTTTATTGAGATGCTCTATCTGGAATTGAGGTTGGACAGAAATCTAATTTGAAATGTGCTGGAAAGTAAGAACCTCGTGTGTTCCACCTGCCCTGCCCCTTTTCTTCCTTTAAATGCAAGAAAAAATTTCAGCCAAACCTTCAGTGAAGGGACATAAAATCAAAACAGGAAAATCATTTACATGACAGATGATTTTAAGCTGCTATTAAACTGGACAACTTCAGAGCTTAAAAAAAACCCCAAAGCTTTCCAAATGTAAATTTTACATGCTGAAACTATCAGCATGGAAAGTTACGTAAGTACATTAAAAATCTCACATTACATAACTTCTTCCATCCTGCCCATTACATATCAGATGACTTTACACAGTGGCTATCTGAACACTACAGGACAGAAAGCCAGAGCAGCAGAGGCTGAGTATGAGAAACATCCCTTAAAATTTCTGCCCTCAAATGTACTTTTCCCTACCAACTAAATAAAAGAACAACACCATTTTCAACAGGTGTCATAAGCAGGAGGAGGAAGAGGTAAAATCATAGAATGGTTTGGGTTGAGAGGGACTTTAAAGACCATCCAGTTCCAATCTCTCTCCAAGGGGCAGGGACACCTGCTAATAGATCAAGTCGTCCAGGGCCCCAGCCAGCCTGGCCTTGAACACTTTCAGGGATGGGACATCCATAGCTTCTCTATGAGAAGCCTCGCAGAGAAGCCTCACCGCTCCCACAGTTAATAATTTCTTTCTGATGCCTAACCTATATCTATACTCTTTGTCCCAGCTCTACACTTCCTGACAAACAGATCCTCTCTCCAGCTTTCTTGTAGGCCCCCTTTAGGAAATGGCTGCTATAAGGCCTCCCCCCAAAGCCTTCTCTTCTTCAGGCTGAATAACCCTGACTATTTCAGCCTGTCTTCCTAGAAAAGTTGCTCCACAGCCCTATGATCATCCTTGTAGATGATCCAACTGATCCATGTCCTTCTCAATGCTGGGGGCCACAGAGCTGAATGTAGAACTGTGAGTGGAATCTCACAGGAGCAGAGCGGAGAGGGACAATCACCTCCCCCATCCTGCTGGTCCTCTTTTGATGCAGCCCAGGATACAGTTGGCCTTCTGGGTAGCCAGGTGAAGCACCTTGCACTTGGCCTTGTTGAACTTCATGAAGTTCATACAGGCCTTCCTCTCAAGTCTGTCCAGGTCTCTCCAAACGCATCCCAAATAACCTGCAACACCTAGTTTTCAGATATGTGTGACTGTCCCCCTGTGTGTAGGTATCAATATTGGCTGGTGTCAGAATCCAAAATTCACTACTCTTCTAAGCAATCATAACAGTATAAATCCAAGAAACAAACAAGAAAGATATCTACTCAGTAGCCAAGATTATGGTGGTCTGAACAGTTATGCTAATGAACTTAAAATTCCGTACCTTGATTATCATTAAATACATTGAGAGCTGGAGCAACTTCTGTAGCTTTCCACAAACGTACAGTGCCGTCTGCAGAACAGGACAGCAAACGCTGGTGTGTGCCACTGTAAACCAGACCCCACACTGCATCAGTATGGCCTACAAAAGCACCTCTTAGAACAGAAGGATCTGTGAACAAAAGACAAACAAACCACATTTCAAAACAAAAACTGAATTAAGTGAATAGTTTTATCTTGCTCTGTGCTTATGGAGTAGCCTTAACAAGCTAGTCCGTAAAAAAAACAAAACAAAAACAGCCAAGCTGGTCTTATCAGTGCAACAGTGTAAATTATTCTATTATTCTTTAATTTCATCAGCACAAGTGGCATTCAGTTTCCCAGTTTATAATTAATTCCCAGTTTGTAAAAAAACTTAATAATAAAGTTTCAGCAGAAGAAATGGTATTAAAGATAATAAAACAGATTTTGATTTTAAAATAAAACTCACTCTCAAAGAGCCACTAATGGTATATGTCAGTCTTTTTTCATAAGACAGCCTTGAAGCCAATTGTATCTGATGCTATGAGATGTGAAGAACATTTAAAACAGACGCAAGGCTGAGGCCTGTTTATAGCTCATAAACATTACTGAAATATGCAATTTTATCAGTTTGAATATAATATTAACAGCTTTGGTCTCAGACTCTACAACCTCTTTATCTCAACAGCATAGATTTGTCAAAGAATGTTTATATATACATTTCCTGTCCTTGTTAGTATCAGGTTTAGTCCTGTACTTTTTCAACCTAGCTGTTTGCCAGAACTGTAATGAGATCAAGGCTCTTTTTAAGAAGTTGAAAAATTCCATCTTCTCATCAATCAACATCAATATTAAAACAAAAATTTATTTTAACTGGAGCAAATGTTCAATTTTCTCTTAATTTTTCCAAGAAATACTACCTACAAATTATACTATTTTAGCTACATAACATTAATGTCACTAAATGTATCCTTTTGTTGGTATCTGACAACTATGTACCATAAGAGTCGTAGGGGTCGATGTTTGGATTTGTTGTATTCCAGCCATGGATGAGGCCATCAGTTCCCCCACTATAACACTGCTCACCATTACTGCTCATCACCACACAAAGCACTGGTCCACTGGAAGAAACCACATTCCCAAAAGTTAACTATTAACATTTTCATTAAATGATAAAAACTGTCAAATGATTCTTCAAATTTTCCTGTTAAATACAATTAATTCATTGCATTGGCTGCAATGAAAATTCTGCATTCTCAGATCATAGGCTACATTACTTCCTAAATAGCATCTCAGCAATATTTGGTAATTTAACTACAGTCAGAACAATTTAGACATTTCACATTTTGAAGATGATAAGTTTTATTATTTTCATTTTTATCTCATTTTTTCATTTTTTCCCCTTTTTAAAAATCGAAAATTTTTCCATGAAAACCATTCAGTAGATTTTAATTCATTGGACATAGCTTCATTCTACATATACACATATCTGGCAAAAAGGCAAGAGCTGTAACGAATGGAATACCTAGTTGAATGTGAACTGCATAATTTGTAGCCATTTAAAAATGGTAGTGTACCCAGCGCCAGACAAAAACAGATGAAAATAAGTAGGCATTTTAAATAAAATGGGAATAAAAGCACTGCATGGAACCATTAGGTGACATAGCGCTTTAAAATTGCTTTAAAAATTTTTGTGTCTGTTTAAAGATCTTGTGTTTCTCAAATAAGACAGCGTTCTTATCAAATACTCACCTGTGTGCTCTGAAGGTATATATTGGCTCTACATCAAGAGAAGCACTCCTAAATGAAGTACAAGGAAATGTTAACACACAGATGACCTTACATTATGCTTTACAAAAAATGTGCCAGAATTAATAAGTTCTTAAAAATCACCGCTACCACTTTTGAAATCTCTGCTACAAAAAATCATGTCAAAATAAGAAATTGTATATCTAGTAATTCTTTCCATTCTTTCAAAATACAATAGGATTTTCCCTTGCTTGTCTGATTTAACATCTTTATTAATGACATCGATGAGGGAATTGAGTGCACCCTCAGCAAGTTTGCTGACGACACCAAGCTGAGTGGTGCGGTTGATACGGTGGAAGGAAGGGATGCCATTCAGAGGGACCTCGACAGGCTTGAGGGCTGGGCTCGGGTGAACCTAATGAGGTTCAACACGGCAAAGTGCAAGGTTTTGCATTTGGGCCGGAAGAACCCCAGGCACCCGTACAGGCTGGGAGGAGTGGTCCTTGAGAGCAGCTCGGCAGAGAAGGACCTCGGGGTCCTGATGGACGAGAGACTGAACATGAGCCAGCAGTGCGCTCTGGCAGCTCGAAAGGCAAATGGGATCCTGGGCTCCATCAGGAGAGGGGTGGTCAGCAGGGAGAGGGAGGTAATTGTCCCTCTCTACTCGGCTCTTGTGAGGCCCCACCTGGAGTACTGTGTCCAGGTGTGGAGCCCCCAGTACAAGAAAGACATAGAGATCTTGGAAAGGGTCCAGAGGAGGGCGACTAAGATGATCAGGAGGCTGGAGCACCTCCCCTATGAGGACAGGCTGAGGGAATTGGGCTTGTTCAGCCTGGAGAAGAGAAGGCTGCGGGGTGACCTCATTGCAGCCTATCAATACCTGAAGGGAACCTACACCCAGGAGGGGAGTAAACTCTTCAGAAGGGCTGACAACAGCAGGACTAGGGGAAATGGATCCAAGTTGAAGGAGGAAAGATTTAGGTTGGATGTTAGGGGGAAGTTCTTCATAAGGAGAGTAGTTAGGCCCTGGAACAGGCTGCCCAGGGAGGTTGTGGATGCCCCGTCCTTGGACGTGTTCAAGGCCAGGTTGGATGGGGTCCTGGGCAACCCGATCTGAATGTGTATGTTTGGTGGCCCTGCTAGGCAGGGGGGTTGGAACTACATGATCCTTGAGGTCCCTTCCAACCCAGATGATTCTGTGATTCTGTGATTCTGTGTGATTTATAGACCTTCAAGGTGAGAAAGCTCAGGAAGTCTCACACACCAATCAAAGCAGCAGGTACATCAGTGGTTTGAAAGGAGTAGAGCGCTATCAGTATCAGATGGAATATTTCCTTGTTTCAAATCCCCGCCCAGGGAGGAGAGCTTGTAACACCTTGCTTTTATACCAAAGCTCTAACAGTTACAAATCACTTAAACTGCTGCTCAGGACTTCACAAGTCAGGTGTTGGGGTTTTATTTGCTTTTCTTTTTTTTTTTTTTTTAAAATACAGACTTCAGGACTACCACAGGCATTGTCCAGTCTTCATAAAAGGCATGATGCACACCCTTCACTATGTGAACCTTATTACAAATTTATTCGTTTCCTCACGTCCCTTGCAATACAAAGAAAACATTGTACACATAAGCCTAGCAACATTGCTGTCAATGTTTACATGTATATATATATACATGCACATGAGTATACATTTACTTTTTACATATGCGCATGTATGTTTATATATTTATATACAGATTCAAGCGCACCAGGAGGTTGCAGACAAATATTTTTACTAATAAATTAGTTTCCCATTTTAGTCTACGCACAAAATACGTACATTCAAAAAAAGAGAACAGTTTTTATTTTTGCATGCACAGATTTCTTCTCATACACTTTAAAAGTCTCCATAATTCTCTAAGAGTTTCTTTTTGTACCTAAAGGACAATTCCCATTGACTCCCAAGGACTACCAGATGAAGCCGTACCTACAATTTTATTTAGATAAATATAATGCTTTAAAGAAGTAAAGCAAAAAAAGATCTTACTTTTTTGCTGGGGCTGTTTTTTGTAAATTCCACATTTTTAATGTATGGTCCTCTGAAGCTGTTATTAGCACAGGCTCAACTGGGTGAAAAGCTAAACCTCTTATTCCGTCAAAGTGGCTTCTTAATGTGAATTTGGGGTTCCAAGTCTTTCTCAGTGCATCCGTATTGTTTCCTATCTAAAAATAATAATCAAAAAGGGACATTTGTAATTAGTCTGGAAAATACAAGGAAAGGATATCAGAGCTTTAGTTTGCCATTTTCAGAATTAACTAATTTTTCATAATAACTTGTTCTCGAGTAACAATCCACTTAAAGCTCATCAGACCACTCAAAATGAGTATGAAGATAGAGATACTCTGCAAAGGCAACAAGTCTAACTCTGCAGCAATGCATTCTGTGCAAATCTGAAGTCCACATGTCTACTAGGCTGCACAATTTCAAAGCACCTTTCTGATTAATACTGCTATAAATTTTGGTATTTGAAAGTTGACGTACCTATTGGCTCATTCATTAACACTGGGCTTGAATCAAGCAAACCGCTGTGCCTGAATATCTGAAGTATCACTGACATGTTATCTATCAAGTAAAGATCTAACAGAAATGGACAGCTGTCTAGCAGTGCAGAAAGGAAAACAATCTAACATATTTACTTTAGGCAATACAAGTTCTGTGATAATACATGACAAGATGATCTTGCCAGAAAACAATAAAAAAAAAGGCAAAAAAGTCTTGGCTACATACTAAGAATGTAACTGGCAAGCACTAAGATATTATATACACAGAGATAAGTACTTGGCAATGAATGCATTTTACATAGATCCAGTAAGAAAGCCTTAAAAAATAAACAGTTACTTCAACATTGTTCCTCTGAGCAGACTATGTAAAATGCCACATGGACTTCTATGACTTTGTCAACCAAGACTGCCACAGTTAAATTTGCCCTGCTATAATCACTGCAAACAATCCATTAGTAAAACATTGACATAAACAATCATGCTTAAGATACAAATAATTTCATTATATTGAAAGCTATGGATAATCTCAAATAATTAGATGTCATCAACTTCCATAAAGAAATAATTATCATGAGACACTTTGAAAATCTACATTTTATTCTAGAATGTGAACAAAAAATAGGTTGCTTTGTTTTTATTTTTAATGTTATTTTTGGATTTATTAACTAAGCTTCATTGAGGAGGATCTACAGATTTTAAACAAGTAAGGAGGCATAGCAAAAAGTGGGTTCAGTCTCATTGTATTTCTTAGTAATTATGTACTGTCTGTTCACTGAGACTGCTCAGTTTCTTTGCCAGTCTACTGAGCTCAGCTGGCTCAGTGAGGGAACAGACAAATACTGGAGCTGGTGCAAGGATGGGGCAGGACTGCAAAGTTAGCAGCACTGTCAGGTTTTCTGGAGATTAGCCAAGAAAGTCTCAGTAAAAAGGGTACAACACATACATAGTATCCACAGATAACTATAGCAGAATTTATCTGCCTGAAGATAAGCATCTAGTGCCTATTAAGGCAATGGAAGAAACTGAATCCGGCCTCTAGGTGCCATACCAGATACACAGGTCCTGTGTCTAATCCATAAACGCTTCAGATTGCCTAACAAGACCACGCCAGTACTGACAATAGCATTCACAGTTTGTTTCTCATTCAGAGGTGTTCTTTCAAAAGAGTGCAATACAGCTGTTGGAGTGGATCCGCAGGAGGGCCACAAAGATGATCAGAAGGCTGGTGCACCTCCCCTACAAGGACAGGCTGAGATACAAGGCTCATCAGCTTGGATAAGAGAAGACTCCAGAAGGGCCATATAGCTGCCTTCCAATACAGGAAATGGCCCATCGGAAAGCTGAGGAGGGACTTTTGATAATGTCACGTAGCAACAGGATGAGGGGAAATGGTTTTAAACAGGAAGAGGGTAGATTTGGACGAGATACTAGGAAGAATTCTTTACTGTGAGTGTGGTGAGACACTGGAACAGGTTGCCCAGGGAGTTTGTGGATGTCCTCTCCCTGGTAGCATTCAAGACCAGGCTGGACGGAACTTTGAGGAACCCGGTCTACAGGGAAGCGTCTCTGCCTGTACTAGCAGGGAGGTTGGAACTAGATGATCTTAAACTTAAAGGTGCCTTCCAACCCAAACCACTCTGTGACTCTATAATTAGCTTATATATTGTGAAGTAGACTGGGGACAGTTTCACTCAGGAGATCAGCAGCAGAGGTGGAGACAGATCCTAGTCCTGATGTGCTGTCTGTATGGCCACCCCATCATCACTCCCTCTTCATTCACTTCCAAGAGCTCCAAGAAGGTCAGTTACTAACAGGACAGCTGGCCTCCTTGTCTCTCTTCCCACTAAAATACAACAGTGAGGTAGCCTGAGATTTAAAAAGCACAGTTGATAGGGAGGAGAGAGGAGGAGTCCACTCCATAATTACCACCTGACTTGGTTTTGCTTTTAATTGTTATGTCTGTGTCTAACTACACAATGCATACAACTTGAACATGCCAGAAATAGCTGTGGTTTGCAGATAGGATTACAAATATGTCTGATGCAGAAAGTTGAAGGCAAACAAGCAAGAACCTGCTGCAAAGCCTAAAACCTCCAGTTTACTACACAATGTGTTATCAGTATATTAAATGTAGTAATTCTGTAGTTTAGATGCTCTTACATAGAACTCATTCTGTTATGAAGTTATGCAACAAAGAAATATTTTCTCATTTAAGTAATATATTAAAATAATCTACTACTAATTGAAAGCCATTCTTTTATTTAAAGCCAGTCAAAGCAGTGTTTGAAAAACCTAAACAATAAAATGAAGTGGGGTACTACTGCTATGTTTTGAAAGAAAATAATCAAGTAAACACAACACTGAGAAAACAGAGTCTGAAAAGAGGAAACTGCAGCTCTTGAGAGAAAAATACATTTAAAGACTGATTCACACAAAACATTTAAACTTCACTGCCTGTGTAATATAGAAGTGACTCTATAAAACCTACTACATTTCTAGTAATTCTACTAAATCCTACCTCATTCTCAATTGGCATCTGACAGAAGATGAGAAGTGATCCAAAATAAAAGCAGATTATATTATTTGTAAGCTATGCTTCCAAGGAAAATCAAAAGGGAAAACTAATCATTCATTTTGCTTCAATAAAGCAACAAGAGCGAAGAGCTTTGCAAACATTTTTTTTTTTCAACTGTCAACACTGGAAAAGATAAGGGGTGAGGTAAGCATGACTATGAATTCCTGATAACTGGACCTCGCATAGGATTTAACAAGTGAACAAATAGAAATAAATACACCCAGTCAGGCATGATAGGATGCAATAGATAAAGAAATGCTAGATTCCATAAACAAAAGCTCTTAACTCAAGATGTAGAAACAAGTTATATGCACACTTGATCAATGAAGTCAACATTATGCTTCCATGCATATCACATCTTCTGAATATATAAAATCAGAATCTAATTAAGTTTAACTGGGAAAAAAATGAAATTTGTACATCAATTTGCTATATTTTTGGAGAGAAAGTTAGGAAAGGTTAACAAAAAAACTGAGTGCAGATTAGGAGATGATGTGAGACACTGAATCTTATTTCATTGAAGCTCTGATGATTCCTGAAGAGTCGTGCTCAGAAACCTGCATATCTCTACAGCATCACTGCAAAAATGTGTGTAAACTTAATAATATTAAGTATGTAATGCATGTAAAAAAGGGCTTGCATGGCAAGAATGAAATCTGCTGCATACGAGACAAAGATATTTCAAAGGAAAATTTGTGACATCCTTTGGCAGCATAATTTTAACAGGAAAAGGTTTGCTGCAGAATCTACACACATATAACTTGCATATGCCTTCATCAAGTAGAGGCAAGAAGACATTGAGCTCCCTTTAACAACCACTTACATCATAAGCCAGCGAATCTGCCTCATTGGCCACTGTGAGGCCAGCCAGCTCTCCAAGACCCAGCTCATTTTCAAGGGTTTCATCTGTTCCCATAATGAAAGATTTCCCTGAAGAAGGAGGGAATGTTAAAGCTTCCACTGCAAGAAAAAAAACAAACAAAAAAAACAACAAACACAAAACAAACCCTGAAACACAAGCATATGCAATGCTGATTTATAAAAGTATATTTTCTACTTTCAAAATACTAAGTAGCTGAGTGCAAAAAAATGTAAGAGGATCACTGTACGTACCAATAAATTGCATCCTCTGAACATAAACTTCAGAAAGACTATGCTACCATTCACCCTTATGTAATGCAAAAGTAACACAGAATGAACAAACACTATGGTTTACAGTGAACAGTCTGATTCATTCAGGCTGCTTCCCCCTTGTCTGAAGGCACTGGGTACAGACGCTATTCAATTCCTCTCCAGACCATTCAGCATAACTAACTCAATCTTCCTGATCTTTCCATTCCACTCCATACTTCTAAGAAGTATCCTGTTTGCTTTCTATGACCTTTGAAAAAAATAAAAGCCCTTCAGCTCTGCTGTTTGATTAAGTCTCTTAGGTATTACCTTTTAATTACAAGCACCTCTTCATCACCCTTAAGTCTAAACTTTTGTTGTCTTCATTCTCTCTACAGTGTTATACTCCACTCAGTACCCAATGCATACAGAATGTCAAATTTGGAAAGCCACTAGAATTTAAAAAAAAACAAACAAGTATATGCCAAAAATATCAATAGGCCTCCAATTTACAAACAAATATGCAACTAGTAGCTTGCAACACCAAATTCAGACTAATAACAGTCAACTGTCCTCTTTTGTTTTCATCACACCCTGAGTCTCTGAATTAAAAACACAATCCTGAAAGGAAATGAGAATAGAGTTTTACTAATATGGCTCTCAGTACATGTAAGGAAAGTTAGAAAGGAAACATTCAACAAAAAATTCTTACACTTCTCCAAGTGTTGCTAAGTTACCCTCTTCTTTCATAAAGAAAATCACAAAGCATGTAGGAAATAGAACTACTGAGATCTTCAGTAACTATGCCATACACCAGAGCTCTTTATGCATCTTAATTATAATTTGGACAACTTACATTTTCACACTCACTGTAAGACTGCAAAGCCAACACTGTGTCTTTCTCATTTGTCTAAATACATATTTGCCATCTAAATAAATAGCATGATATGATCTTTTACAAGTTTATATATCCTGATATATTAATGGTGTGTATTGCAGCAGTTCAAATGTTGATTCAAATACTTGATTTAGCAACTTACAGAAGCAATATTAATAAAGGAAATCACATGCGATCCTGCAAAGATGAATGGCTTTCCAACAAGCAAGTAACTTAAGGACCTCATGTTACAAGCCACCAAATGCCAAGTAAGTTTTTCCACCACGTTGAAAATATTCAACCAGAGTTTTACTTAGGTTGGTGCCTTTACCTTCCTAATAACTGGAGGAGAAGGACTGCATTACTGCATTTAGACAGAACTCATAATACTGCATCAGTATTTGTGAAGTGCTTGGAACATCCTGGAGGATACTCTTTAAGCAAAAGTAACTATAAACATCTACCCTTCACAAAAGTGTACGCACGTTTTTAATATTTACCTTCATCTGTCCTGTTTATCTCATGTTCAATCAGCCTTGAGCTACTGGGTCTAGAAGAAGGTGCAACAGATGGCTGTAATGAAGGGAGATCATCAACATCTCTCAAGTTTGCAAGCATATCTTGCAGCTTTGACCTGTTGGGCCCTAACCAGAAAACAAACAAACAAACAAAAGATAGTTTATGGATAATTTGTAACAGCATTACTTATTATAATATCAGATACAGCGTAGCAGCACATGCAACAAAGAATCCCACCTTGCATTAAAATGTTATGACACACACAAGAAAAATGAGCACCTATTTGCAGTAATATCGAATTATCCAGCGTGAAATGAATTTATTGAAAAGAAAGTGGTAGAAGCAACCAAGAATTGTGAATGCACAACTTTCCCCACATTTATACATTCACACTGCCAACTGCATGGAATGATGAAGAATGCCTCCAACTGAATCACAGCAACAGTGATTATATTATTTACTTTTCGAAAACAATTGATAGCATTTGTGAATATTTCAGTATTTGTGCATCAGGTTCTTTGTGCAGCATATTCTTATCATAAGATGATCATTTTCAATTTGTTTGTGCAGTAGTGTAGGACTGTGGAACTATATCATCTAAAGGAATATAACTACATTAAAATATAAATACAACCGGATTCATTGGCCTACTTCCTGAAGCTGTATATGGTGAAGAGCCATGCCCTTCTTGACACTTACCTGTGCTTTGCTCCATCATTTTCCCACATCCCTGTTTTGACTGTTTTATATAGGATTGAGGTTGAAACATATCTTCGGCAGTTTTTCCTGTTGTAAGTTTAATTAAGAATGGGAAAATGTCTTACCCATAGCATTATGTTTTTTTCCTAGACCAGTAACAATACAGCTATTTTCAAGCAGCTTTAACACAGAAGTGTACTTTAATATATTTATGCTTTTATTACTCCACAGGAGCGTTTACTACAGCCTTGCAAAATCATAGGTTTACTAATGTAATTGCAAACGCCACTTTGTCCACCCTAACCATAATGATAGTTAATTGACTAAATTGTGCTTAACTCATTAGTCACAAAGACATTATTTGATTGAGGTAACAGTAAGCAGGATTTTGCAAGATTGCTTTACTACAGTATTTGATCTACAATACAACAATATTATACTTGGTAGTAGTTCATCATCTAAACATGTTTTGTGATGAAGCTATAGTAACAAGATTTTTTTAGTTTTGTTTTGTTTCATAATTTAATGTCAAGATATTTAGTCCCTTCTTCTTCCCCACACTTCCTTCCGTGCATTCTTCACCACGTTTTTCTGCATTGATGCCTATCTACCTATGGCTTGCCCATAGTCTCCCAAGATCAAAGCAATTAAATCAATCCAAAAGATACTATAAATGTACTGAGTAGTTTTCTTTATGAAGGAACACTGGTTGACCAAGCACTGCCATACATCAGAAATTTTTTTCATAAACATACAGAACAATTTTCAGTAATATCTACATCTATATGTAGTTAAATTTCAGTTTTGCTACCAAAAAGAAATAGTATTTAATAGTTGTTAAAGAAAATAACTTCAATTATTTCAGGAAATCACTTATGCTAGCTTAACCCTACAACTAGCCACCCTGACATAATAGAACACATCTGTGTATTTTAAAAACAACAGACAAGTTAAAAATACCAATTTTACTGAAAATCTTAACCACAAGGAAATTTTAAATCAATTTTATGAATCACAAGCACTTTGGTTGTTCAACTCAACTACTTACTGAGTTGCAAATTCCAGTAACTTAAATGATTCCAAAGATGACAAAAATATCTGAGAAATTTGAAGATTAACTTTAAAAAGTTTATTCTGTGTATTTGATTAAGATTGATCTATTTCAGCAACATAACCAACTGCAGAGCAAAAAGTAGCTCATCACATCAATACAAAATCTAACACCAATCAGCCTCGAACAGTGATATGAGGATCTGACACCTTTTGTATCGTTGTGCATATCTTCTTGGAAGTGAAAGTATCACTGGAATTAATAAGCATCTTTCCACAAAGAGAGAAACCACTCTCATTTCTTACTGGACTACATGCAGTGCTACTAATTTACATCATTTGCACATGAATTCTCAGTATGGTTAGATTTTTGAAATAAAGCTACAAATACAAAAAAAAAATATTTTAAACACTTCATTGAGATCAAAATGTTTCAACTCTTAGTTCAGAAAAACATTGCTTTACAAAACGGATTTGCATTTCAAGAAAGGAAACCAAATAATTATAATACAGGGCTAGAAACTGTATTTCAGATACTGATCACAGTTTTTTGTTTGGATAAAAGAATCCAACGTTTTTAAATATTAGTCCAACAAAAGCAAGTCAATAAATCCCATGATTTACAAATAAATGGATGGTTAGAATTGCTTCCTATTTCGAGCCCTGCAGAACAAATTATGATGACAGCATGACTTTCATGTCGTGAATGTTAAGTATAAACAGGGGTAGAAATTAACCTGTTTTTTCCTCTGTCATCTAACACGATACTCCAGACAGTTCTATATGGCTGTTCAATTTGCATACTAGACTTCAATTCTCCCTGTGAAACTGGAATGTTTTCAGCTAAGAAAGGGTTATGAAATTTTCTATATTGAAGTGTGAAGTACTAAAACAATGCATTTTATAATTTACATTTCTGCAAGAATTTTTAATTAATCCAGCGCCCGTTTGGAAGAAACTATCTAATCCAACTACTTATCAGTAACTTGATTGACTATCATTAATTTCAACCCCTGGGAACTGGTGAACAGGAAAGCAGTCAGGAGCAGCAAAGTAAGAGAGTAAGTAATTTTAGGAAAACATTGAGAGAGAGATAGAATTAAGGGTGTGAAAGATGTAGGATTTATGATTTTAAAGTGCAATGTTTTCCACTTACTCTTCACCCCCTTTTTCCCCTTGCGCTCCTTTTTGTATTGTTCCTTGAGTTTGGTTATTACTCCCTGGTCGACATTCCAGGCTTCAGGCATGAGACATTGGTCTTCCTTTTCTAAACAAAGTGAAACAAATGAAACATCCTTTTTCAGTCATGTCACCAAGTGATCTCCAACTGAAGGAGGTAACAGCTGGTATTGGTACTTGCCTTATTTCAAACAGACAGAAATAGTACCGAGCTCATGAAAGCTACGAAACTGCTACTCCCATTCCACTTTTATTTGCTCCGTTTTCTTTACAAGAAATTGAGATTTTAAAATTTCACATGTCTAATTTCCTTAACTAGATACACAGCTGTTCATAAAATGTAAGCAACATTTACTTTACAATACATCAGCTTTTCTTTCCCCCAAAGAAAGAACTATTATGCATGAAAAGAAGAGTTATGCTAAAGCTATGTTTGTCGTAACTTTACAACTCAGATTTTGTGTCACTGTGTTTCAAGTATTCATTTCATTGTCTCTGTGGTATGTTGTCATTTACACAAAGCAGCAGCCCATCTAAATTTTTGTGGAACATAGTAAACACATCACCAAGCACTGAATAAAAAGCCCTGAAGAACCTATGAAATTTCACCAACAGGAGACAGCCTGAGTTATTAGTCTTAGAAAAAGCTACAGAAACATTTCAATATATCTAATGAATAAAATTTTTTAAAAAAGACCTCTTTCAAATTGCTTTTTCTAGGGAATTATTTAGAAAAATAATTTCCTACAGACTGTCCCCAGATACTTCCTACATGTCTACAGGTTCTGTTCAACTTTACAAGCAGATCTTGAACTACTGTGCAAGTGCTATAACGTGCTTAATTTAAAAGTCAGCTGACTGCTCCTGAGAAGCTAAGGACACATTTTACAGATTACTGTAATTGACTGGCAATGTTTAGGATCAAAAATGAAGCAAGGACTTTCTATGTTGCTTCTATACACAGTATTGCTCAATACACAATATTGGTGCTTTATGCCATATTTTAACAGTTTCTTTTGCAAAATTAACACCAGTGATCCGTAAAGGCAGCTCCTTGAAGAAGCTTATTCTTACATGCCATTATTATGAGACACACAGACTATGAAATAAAAATAACTGAAAAACCCGAAGGGCTGTAACTCAAAGAAAATCCCCTACCATTTCTAGAGATTGAACTATTTCTGACAACAATTTATTTTTAATGTTAGACATTTGCTCATTTTTTTTTTACTCATCTGTCATCAATGAAAGTAAAAAGAAACTCAAGGTGTGAATCTGAGAACAAAAAAGCTCCTGTTGGCACACTAGCTTTTCAGTGACATAAGCAGTAGGTGCACTTTTCAAGCATAAGTGGATAGACAGATCTTCAACTTTGGAGAGAAGAAATATCAGAACAACTTCAAACAATTTATGATAAAAAAGGGCAACATCTCTAAATTTGCTTGGTGATCAGAATGCTGACTTTTGTATCTAAAAACATTGAGAGGTACTCTCTCAGCAAAGAGGCTACCTACTATTGAGCTAATAATTTGTAATCACTGTATTTGTAATAATATAGAAATTTGGAGTCCAACTACAAGCTCGTAACTTCACTGAAATACTGTATCTCAGAATTGTTAGCTCATGTGAGAGCCACTGCTGCCATGGTCGGTTTCCATCAATGTTTCAGTACCATTATAAAGATTAATTATCTCCCATTCATCTTCCACAGTTCCAATCTGTCTCCATTAATGTGTAAAACTTTACAGAGAAGCTTAAGGAGGAAACAACCACTCATAAAAACATTCAGTCAGTTCTCTTCCTCCTTCTCTTCCCTGTGCAGAGCATTTATGTGGAATAATTATTGCAAGATAAAGTGGATCCTGCCATTTTTGGCTGCAGGACATGAACTTCAAGAATATAGAGAACAGTTTGTGAAATTTCACTTGGTGACTGGGGGGCTTGAACTTACACACTTTTAATAACTTGTAACAGAAAATTTGAGAAACAGAATGAATCATTTTTTCCACATTGATAATATGTAATTGTATTCAACTAGTTCAGTTCTTTGAAATGCATTACTTTCCGTGTCAAAGTTGAAGACAGCAAAGAATGTTTGAAATTGTAAAATACATCTGTATCAGAGTCCCTCATTAGAAAGTGGCACTAGAAAAATCACAGAGATTCCACTCATGGAACTGAAGTTCTATTTGCCCTGTTACTAAAAAAAGAACAGACACACTGGAAGCAAAAACTTCCACAAACCCTCACATAAAAGCAGTATAAACAAAAATGAGAATATCATATCACAAGAATCTCAATCTGGCAATGAACATAACAATAACATACAAACATAACATACAAATATAAAAAAGGTCCTCCCATTATGACAGAGACCATAATCAACCAATCAGAACATACTCTTAGTGCATTTTCTTTCTCCTGATACATTCCATTACGTTTCCTTACCCCAGTCTGTTCCATCTCCTGAACTTCTCGATTCCCCATCACCTTCATCTGAGGTAACCAAAAAGTCAAATTCTTTCAAAGCTTCTTCTGTATCTCTGTCTTCACTACTGTCAGACAGCACTCTTTTCCTTACAATCTGAAATACGAGGAAGGAAAGAAAAAACTGAATTAAATAACATGATGTTTATATCTAGCAGTACTGTTTTCAACAAAATTGTAATACAGTACAATACAAAATTGTAAGAGGATGTTTAAGAAGCAGGAAGAAAGCACTAATAAACCTTAAATTAACATAAAGATTTCCTTCAAATTTCAAAGTAAAAATGAAAATCATCTGTACAATTACTTCGTGTAACCATCAATATTCAATCACTTGATAATGAATCTACATTGATGTATATGATTATCAGTCTTTTTAATACCAGAAAAGTACAAATCTTCTTTTGATAGAGATAAAAAAAAAAAAACAACAACCTAAATACACACAGAACAAAAAACCCCAACACAATGCCATAGGAAGAACATAAGCAAAGCCAAATTGTCTCAACTATTCTAAAAATAACCTAACTCACCTCAGAAATCACTCTACTAATTGGACCAAAAGCTTAGCCTAGAAAAATACCTAAGGAAAGTGCTAATTTGCTTAGGTTTGGCAAAAATCATTTCATCTGATATGTCTTTAGACATTTCAGATATTTATACACAGTACTTCCATGCTTAAACTGCATTTTCCTAATCTAATTCTAAAGCAAATTTGGTAATGGGAAAAAAAAAAATATACATGTTTTAACAAAAGACCTCACAGTATGCTTCTTGAAATAAATTTACTTTTCCTTCAATACTCAAAATGAACTAGCTGCCTTAAAGTTATTTGATTAACTGGCAAATTAAGAAATTTGAAATAAGTAGGGAAAAAAATATTTCTATAGAAAAAGAAAAATTACATTAATCATGTACTTTGACTTGGGACCTTGCTATAAGTCAGTGTGAAGATACTTCAGTACCTAGGGCAACATCCCATAGTTCATGAGGATGAATGGCTGTTTTCTCTGAATACGATGAACCAATTTCACAGCCTAGAACAAGACTAAACACTAGACTTAACACTCCTGGCAGATTTAGTGAACATAGTATGTTATACATTATATTACAGAGGTGTTTCAGACAGTAGTTCACAGGTCATCAATTACAAGATTCTCTTTAAAAATAACTTTATAACTGGTATTTTTAAGCAGTCATTCTTACAATTAATCATAAAAATGATCCATTGTATCCACCGTAAGTTATGTCTTCTTAAATTTTTGGATGCATAATCCAATGAATAAACATTCATTCCAAAAATAAGAGGATAAAATTGAGTATTATTTGCGTGTATCTATTTAGTGACTTTTGACCAAATGATGTTGCAAAGTATACACCACGAGGCAGGGAATCAGGCTTTGACTGAATACACAAACCAGTTTATTAACCACATTTTGGAATTTTTCCAGTTATACTTTTTCTTTCTTCAATAACTCACTTAAATCAAAAGTGGTATTTCAGTTCTGTACCCTACAAGCAGAAAATTCTACACGTCACTTTAAATATAAAATGCACTGAAAAAAAGTTAAAAAATAGTAATAATTTTAAAAAGATATCTGGTACTTTAAAAACTGCATCGAACATATATCTAAAGTACTAGTTGGTATGAAATAGCAGTTCAAAATATGTCACTGCAAACTTCCAGCAAGACAGATAGCGAAGTTTAACTTGAATGCATGAACTCCTCCTGTGCACACATGCTTGGACAGACCATCATAAAGATGCATTAATGATTTGCACGTGTACATACACAGTCATATACTTTGCATATAGGCATCTCATTAATCTCACTTTTTCTGTTCTTCGTAACTTTTTCAATTATTTTTTCCACTCACTGTTGCGGTATCAATGATTGTTTTCTCTCTTCCTTCAATATCCTCCTCATCTTCTTCATCACTGAAGTCTGCAGCTGCATTTTCAAGGAACTTGAAGGTCTCTAGCAGAGAGGCAGAGTCAGTCAATTCTGGCTTCCTAAACAACAACAACAACCACTATGAGTCAAAAGAAACCATTACAACATCACTTTTGCATTTACCAGTCTGTTCTATTTTATGATGTCTAACAACACATGAAATTAAAATAAGCCTACAGGGAAAAATGCACTATTTACAGAAAAAAACATTTGTGGCTTAAAAACCTAAATGTTATCCATAAATTCATCTTATTACAACCATTATTCTTTATCCAGCTGCAATTACCAGGCACTCCACAGTTTGGTTGTTTTTTTTTTTTTGTTGCTTTTTCCATTTTTAATTTTAGAAGCATTTTTAAGCACTCTCCAGCTGTTACACACCCCAAAGCTTTATCAATACTGATATATCAACACAGAAAGTTGCAGGAACCAAGGTATAAGTTACAGCTCCACTAAGCAGGTTGTCACATGCACCCCAGGGTACAGGAAAACTTTGCTGGTGCTCATTGATGTTCTCCATCTTGTGGGAAACAAACTCTAGATCTATCATCCATTAACTTTTGTGCTAAATTTGCCTTATAAAATGATGTAAGTGACTCTTCTGTAGATGTTAACACTAAACAAAAGAGGAAAGAATCAAAACTGGGTGAAATCATGGCTGCCAACACTGGCACAAACTCAAGGAGTGTCTCCAGAACAGGAGCTAAAAGAGTTGTCATATTAACAGCTGAAGAGGAAGAATTAAAAAAATAGAACTGTAACCATTAAATGAAATTCTAATAAATGCAAAATTAAAGCAATTCCAAAATTATTAAGGGGTATAATGTTTTCTACACAGAAGACGAACTTCTTTTTCAGAGATAAAGTGGTGAAAAAATACATTCAGTGTGAACTGTAGTAAAACCCTTTAAAGTACTTCTATGACTTTAAAATTACAAAGGAGACAAATTTTGCTGTTGTTTTCTTACCTTTAACCAGCAGTTGAAGTTGCATAGTTCATCACTACATGTACGTCATCTTGATTTTCACAACCACTGAAACCATAGAAGTCTCTCCCTCTCATTTAAGAATTATAGTTCTAAACTGTCTTGTACAGTCATCCCTTCTGACAGTAAGTGCCTTACTAACACTGTATTTTGCTTCTGCTACGACCCATTTAAAAAGGTTCAATCAACTAACAGTGCTATACAGTAAGGCCTTGTAAACTCCCTGTAGTGTAAACACCTGATTATCTGACCATCAGCCTTTTATTCCAGAGTTTCTTCATAACACTTAGCCAAGGCTTATTACAGGAAACATTCAAGGTCAAAAGCTCCGATGTGTAATATGGCGTGATAAACAAAACAATTCCTCCTTTATGCTGTCTCCACTCAATTATTTCTAGGCATACATGATAATCATTAGCAGAAGTGGCTTCTGTATAGCTCCAGTATGTCTGCATCTTCATCAGACAATTTGTCATCCTATTCTTTTACCCATCTGCATTGACTGAAAATACCTGTAACAACTTCACTTGCCACTATAAATTCCACTCACACAGAGTACAATATACAGTGATGTACTGCTGTGCATGTTCACGGTCACTGGTTTTACCAACTTTATTAATTCTTCTTTCCCTTATCTTAGATGAGAACTATCTCAAACATGCTTCCAATTTGCCTTGCTTCTTGTAGTATTTTGTCCCTGACAAACCTGAAAGCACTATGTAATGCTGTTCTTTTTCCTCAAGTAATCACTGCACGGGCACACTATAGTGCTTCAATCTGTATAATCTATAATACCTAATTTGTAGCAATAATACAGTTTCAAAGAAATCCTATAGGACTGTTATTTTACTGTTTCCAATGCACAAATGTAATGTGCTTCACTTTAAAAAGTTCTTGTTTTTTTAGGCATTTATGAGTCCTAGTTAACTTTTAGCGGACAAAAATGTCTAACTCTGATTGTTATTTCTTTCTGGTTTGGTTTTTTTTTGTTTTCCTGTGCATAAGGTGATGTGAAAATCTACTATGTAAAAACATAGCGTTATTGAGTAATAACTGCAGATATACCAGAGTACTGTATGAACTAACACCAATCATAGAAGAGAAAATTTTAAATGAGAGAAATTGTTTTTATGAGTCAAACATCCTTTGTAGTAATTCAAACACAAATTAGTTTCTGTACTCATTTAACCTTACAGTGAAGTTGACAGTGACCACCAAAAGAGATTTTATCTTTTTGTTAAGTAACTTGTCAGAATTCAACTATCATATCAATTTTTACATAGTTAAGTAGTCAGAATATACACTAAACTGCGTATTGCCATTTACAAATGGAAAAAAAGGCACCTTATGCACTGGAATACACAGCTAATCATACATTTCAAAACTTGTGTACAGTACTGAAGTGTACAAAGTCAGCACAGTACAAAAAATATTATTTGTGTTCAAGCACAACTTCCAATAAAGTGTTTGTAAGACAACAACAACAAAAGAAAACAGAAGTGGGAAAATATTTAAATTATTTAAAGGCTCCACAGAGAAAAGAAGCTTCAAGCTCATACAGTTTGACTGGCTATACTATACCCCTAATATATTTTAACAACCTAGTCAACAGTGACTCACGGTGACTCATCTATGATATCTTTCATTTTTTAGTAGTACCTAAACTTAAGGCATCATTTTAGATATTACCATCAACACAAACATCTACAAACACTCTAAAATACACAAGAGAAAATATCTGGACTTAACTAATTTGCCCTTTGATGACAATTTGAAGCTTGCCTGTTTCATTATTCTCCATTTGCTAAGCTGGTTTCTGTTATGGAGTCACTCACAAAGCAACAGAAAAAAAGTGGCAAAAATATATTCTGAGACACAACAGTACCATAAATTACTTTAAATTCCTTTCTAGAAAAATGATCACAACTCAACACTTCCAGAATTCTTGCAGTCCATAATACTTGGAAAAAAAACAACCAACCAAAAACATTCAATGGGTGAAAATAACAGTACAGCAGATCGAAGAGCAGGGACCAGCAGGGAACTGTCCCATTATACAGGCATTAGCGAGGCAACACAATGGCAAGATCCAGGAAACGCTGCAAATACAGGGAAACTGAAAGAACAAAAGCGACTTGGAGAGCACTATTCCTCTTTACTAGAATGCTCCAAATCAAAACATAAGTAGGGAAGAATGTCACTTTCGAAGTGATGCTTTTTCCTTCTTCCTTAGTCTCACTGTCTAAAAGAACGCTGCTGGAGAAGAACAAGTCTTCTTGGATGTTTCATCTCAGCTGGCTTACCACTTCCTAACCAGATCTAAAACTCATTTAACCAACACAGCATTTTCTATTAATCAGGCTTAACTCTGTGTGGGCATCACATTCTTCTCTCCTGTGGCCATAAAGAAGCAGGGAAGCCTCTGGGCAGAGAACACCTGCTACTCATGCCTGAGCACCAGTGAGTAGAGTAGGACTAACTGCTCATCACAAGTGTAACAAGCACAATAAGCACTGCCAGGATGTAAAACACAGCCTCATTGATGCTGCAGGACTCTCCACCTTAGTACTAACAGATGGACAGTATGCAGAGTATTCCTCACACAGGGAACTTCTGATTCCCAAATATAAGATACCTTTTTTCCTGTTTAAAAAACAGAATTCTTGTTATTATATGGGCTGGTAACTTCAGTACTTACCTCCATTAGAGCAATATAAACCTAAAATCACTTGACTACTTTTATCCTCAGAAAAAGTATCTAGAATTTTCTGCAATTGTGACCACCCTGAAAATCTTACTCTAACCCATATTTTACATGCTGTTTGATAATACAGATGTGTCTCAACTCCTTCATTTCTTTAAAATTAAAAATAATAATAATGTCTTCCCTTGAAATGAAAGAAATACAATTTGTGGATGTTCCACATATGTTACTGAAAGCATGCTAGGATCTCACTGGGCCCACGCAGCCAACTCTTTGCTTTCTTCTCTACAATCACAAGGCTCGGAACAAGCATTTTGTGTAAAATCCAGTTGGCCCTGATAAGGAAATAATAGCAGCTTTAAAAAAACCTGTAGTGTTGAACTGGCTCTAACATTTAACATTCAGGATCTTAACATAAACCCTCTGGCAGATTTTGTTCTCTTATTATGGGAAAAGTAGAAGCTATAACTTGTATGAAAAGTGAAGACATGAGGTTACTAAACAGCACATTGATGACACCTTTTCTGCTTCTAACAAGACCCTGATGTTTCATGCTAGAAAGCCAGGTTTAATTCAGACTAGTGCCAGATTACAGCTATGTATTTTCTTCACTGTCTATATTTCTGTCATTTTTTTTTTTCCTCTCCTGATATGACTTTGGGGAGTTTCTGTGGTCATGTCCTTGGAGAGTGCCACAAACTTCTCCCACAAAGTGCCTGGCCACAAAACCACTAATTGCCTCAGTCCTATCCACTCCCCAGCAGAAAAAGGAGAGGTAGCCTTGCTGGATCGGTTCCATTTTTGTTTGATTGGCTTTCAGTCCAAAACGTACACAAGTTGCCTTAAATAAAAACAGATTTTATTGACAAATTCAGAAGCAGGAAGGAATACCACAGTATAAAGTTAAATAACAGGGGTTCAGCTGAGGCTGAGAAATGTTTCCAGGACCTGTACAGGAGAAAGCTCATCATGGCCCAGCATCTGAAGAACTGTTAAGTGAATTCTTCCTTGAGCCATTTTTGTTTTGTTTCTCTCACTACCAAAACACGATAGCACAAAGTCACTGTTTTTATTAATTTCCCACTGAATGTCAATATTTCACATTCTAATACAGTCTTTTCAACATGGCTGATGGAGTCCTTTCAAACTGGATACAGTAAATAACGGCATGCAAATTCAAATATTTTCCTATGACAGCTGTCTTTAGAGAACAGTTTAAGAAATCGTGATTACTGTGCAAAAAATCTCATAGTATCAACACTAATATCAAACTAATAATTTATAAACTTGTGAACGCTTATAACCATCCAAATTAAAAAAACACATACAGCACTGGACAGACTAGAAAGTCTGTCACAACCATTAAAAC